GGTCAGGGTGGCGGCACGTGCCGCGGCGACGCCCGTTGCGCAAGCTCGTGCGGCCTCCCCCGCTCTGCCGAAACCCGCCTCCCTCATACCCGTTAAAGACACCGCAGCCAAAACCAAGGGGCCCGCCCCGGCAAAGGATCCCAACCCCCTCCAACGCGGCACTGCCGCCCCTTTGCGTCACCCAGGGGTCAATGCCGCGCCCACCCCCAATACTAAAGCCAATCAGAAAGAAACTGCCACAACGCAGAAGGCAACTCAGAAACCGTCTGCTTCGACAAACGCCGCCAAACCTGAGTTCACTCAAGTGGCGGCCCCTCAGAAGACCACCCCGGATGTCAAAGCAAAGACGGAACCCAGCGCCGGCAGGAAGATCCCGCAGTACAGAGGCAAGCGTGAAGATCCTTATTTCGAAATGAACTGTCGGAGAAGGCAGAAGATGTGATTGGAGAGGCCTCGCCAGCAGGCTGGTGACTCAACGGGGGGGAAAAATAATAATCAGCACTTGTTTTCGCTCCTTTTAAACTAACCCTTACATGTCGACTGTAAATTTGTTTCAGGGGTGTCCAAACTTTTTCTGACACGCCGCCCAAAAAATAAAATAAAATAAAACATCGGGCGATAGTTTGGACTCCCCTGTTTTGTATCCTATTCAACAGATTTCATTTAAAAGGGTCGATAGTTTGTACGATTTGTCTCCGTGATGAAATAATCGACGGTTTCTGACTCAACTACCTGCTTTAAACAGTTACTGATCATGTTTACATTTTTACACACGCAGCAGTCGCGACGTTCTGAGATACTTTGTCCAAAGTGAGCTTCGGGAAATGGAGGAACAGGCTACCAAAGTCTCGCGTGTCGTTTTCCTGCGACAAAGCTGGAACTCGAATGATTTGATTACTCCAGCGAGTGATGGATCACGACACCTTGGCACCATCATGATGGAGTCCTCTGTCATGTGCCTTCATCACAAATCAGAGTGAATGGCATTAGAATGTATTCGATGATGGGTGGGTGAAACGGGATTTTTTTTTTTTTTTTAAGATATATACATTTATATATAAATATTTGAAACTTGCACAGTGTGTACAAACACTTTTTAAGGAGGAAAATGTTACGGATAAACTACTGATCAAACACGTTTTTTTTCTCTCTTTTCCCAGGCCAGGCCATCACTCTCAGTGCACATTCAAAGCAGTATAGATTTGTGTTTTTATGATCTCTATGTTGGCGTGTGTGTTGAAATTCTAGTTTTCTATGTGGTGTTTGTGTGTGTTCATAAATAGAGTATTTACAGATTATTAAAAGCCCCCCCTCCCCCTTTTTTCTGTGTTTGGCACTTTACAGAAACCTCTGTCACATTTTGAATGTAGATTGTGTCTCTTGTCCCAGATACTTTTTTTTTTTTTTCATGTGGTTGTTTTTGATTAAATTGGTCAAAATCCATCTTGACTGTTTGTTTCAAATTCTTGTGGTTGATTTGGGCCTTTGAAATAAAAGGGGAATACAATTTTAGGCATTTTGTGGTGTTTCCATTCCGCCCAGTTAGTATTAATTTACAATAACAAATCTTGTCCAAAACACTAGATGACGCATGATTTAAGTTAAATCGAACATTCCGTCTCAAATGACAAAATTCGTGAAAATAATTGATGGATGACGCATGATTTAAGTTAAATCGAATATTCATATTGTTGATTATATCGATGAAAGTGTTTTTCCTGGCTTTCTGAGCTAGAGTTTGCCTGTCATTTGGCTTTTTTTCAAGCTTCTCTATGTGAAGTATTGCAGTAAAATTCGGTGACCATTTTACGGCCTTCCAATTGGGTTTAATGTACTGCTCTGCCATCTTGCGGAAATAATGGAACACTGCAGGTGAAACACCTAGAGTGAGTTGGTGTTGTTTATTGAACATAAAAACATATACAGTAATAAATTGGCAGAAAGTAAAGGTAAGTAAAAAAGGAAAAGACAACAGGCATCATATAGCACAATAAAAGTGGATAGATTGGGACGCCCGCAATGAGTATATTTATTCCGTCTCAAATGACAAAATTCGTGAAAATAATTCTGATCGATGACGCATGATTTAAGTTAAAATGAACGTTCATATTGTTGATTATACCGATGAAAGTGTTTTCCCTGACTTTCTGAGCTAGTGTTTGCCTGTCATTTGGCTTTTTTTCAAGCTTCTCTATGTGAAGTATTGCAGTAAAATTCGGTGACCATTTTACGGCCTTCCAATTGGGGTTAATGTACTGCTCTGCCATCTTGCGGAAATAATGGAACACTGCAGGTGAAACACCGCGAGTTGACTTGGTGGTTTATTGAACATAAAAACATATACAGTACAGTCATAAATTGAAAGAATGGAAAGGTAAGTAAAATAGTAAAAAAGGAAAGGACAACAGGCATCATATAGCACAATGAAAGTGGATAAATTGGGACGCCCTCAATAAATTCAACACCAATTAGAAGAGGGCAGAGGCCGGAAGTTGGAAAGCAAATAAATTAACACAGGTGTGAGCCAATATGCGGTAGCAGCGGTCGTCCGAAAAGGGTGAGTAAATACAAAGAATATAGATGTACTCTACGGAAGCGTGCAGCTGTCAATGTGGAGTGAAAATGTTTTGACTGACAAATACGTTCCAACGAGTAGATCGAAAATATTTAAATGCATTCCAACGTAGGTTCGAAAATACTTGCAAAAACGAACGTAATTGTAGGCTAAATGTGAGAAACGCAATTTCCCATAATGCCATGTGGTGTTGATTTACGCATGCGCATATTCCGTGGCATTATTGGGGAATAAATGTATTGAAAAAACATTTTATTATTATATCCATACCAAAAATTATGCAAACAGTGTATATTCTCAATGGTTTTATTGTGGCTGCAGTGCATGTTTTTCGTTTGTCATTTTTTTCCCATAATGCCTCGCGGTATTTAGTCGCGAATCACAGGCTTGTTCTAGGAACAAAAAATAATTTTAAAAATTACTTTTTAGCATTTGGTCAACATTATACTGGTGCGTTCAAAGATTCAGTAAGTCAACGTTTGTAATTTTATGGCATTGTTATGCCAGCAGTGCGTGATTTACAATCACGTTTTTTCCCATAAGGCCACGGGGTATGTTTAAGGAAGTAAATACCCCGTGGCATTATGGGAAAAATGCTCCGTTTGTAGCATTTTGGCTACAAGTGTGTTCCGACATATTTGCGAGTACGTAAAAAACTAGAGTAGGGTTGAACACACTTGCGAGTACATTCGAATGTATTGAAATACGTTCGAACTAACTCACAAATAGATTTGAACACACTTCCGTCGAGTGCGCTCAAGCAACACTTAAAACTGTCATGAATTTCAGTAATTTTCCTGTACCACTAGAGGGAGCCCGCGTAGCACAAGTGGCGCTAGTTTGTACCACTTTTAGAATGAGATTTCATTTACTGTATTTCTGGCCCGAAGTACTACAGACACATAAAAACATGTTCAATGACAATTTATATGATTCGTTTTTAAACATCTTGAGACCAGGAGGTTGATGTGAAATGATAAATAAAATATGGATAGAACAAGCGCATACGTTGTTTCAGTGCATCAAAAAAATCAGAGTCAAACCCTTGGAAAAATGAAGGCACAACAGTGTAGAAACAATTAAGGCCGGGTACCACTTTCTTTCTTTTTTTTTTATCAGGTCCATTACATGATGACCAAAAGAGAAATATTCAAACAGTAAATCACAGGAGAGTGCAATTCAGTTTCTTTGGCAGTGTTTCCCAACTTGTCAGTTTTTGTTTTTCACTGACCATATAAATGGGGGCTGCGCTTTTTAAAAAATTATTTTTAGTGCATTTTTCAGTATTAATCTGAATTGAAAATGAAGTCTGAGTTTAAAACCATCCAAGACTGTTGCTGATAGAAAATATGCGAGTTTGTGTTTAAGGGTAAGTGCAGTGACATAAGCATACAAAAAGCTACATTGTCATTATTATTATTTTTATGGAATTAAAATAATCTGTCATCCAGGTTCTTTGTAGATCCTTTTCAGTGGCGCTGTTCTTGCAGTAATTTTCCTGTACCACTAGAGGGAGCCCGCGTAGCACAAGTGGCGCTAGTTTGTACCACTTTTAGAATGAGATTTCATTTACTGTATTTCTGGCCCGAAGTACTACAGACACATAAAAACATGTTCAATGACAATTTATATGATTCGTTTTTAAACATCTTGAGACCAGGAGGTTGATGTGAAATGATAAATAAAATATGGATAGAACAAGCGCATACGTTGTTTCAGTGCATCAAAAAAATCAGAGTCAAACCCTTGGAAAAATGAAGGCACAACAGTGTAGAAACAATTAAGGCCGGGTACCACTTTCTTTCTTTTTTTTTTATCAGGTCCATTACATGATGACCAAAAGAGAAATATTCAAACAGTAAATCACAGGAGAGTGCAATTCAGTTTCTTTGGCAGTGTTTCCCAACTTGTCAGTTTTTGTTTTTCACTGACCATATAAATGGGGGCTGCGCCTTTTTAAAAAATTATTTTTAGTGCATTTTTCAGTATTAATCTGAATTGAAAATGAAGTCTGAGTTTAAAACCATCCAAGACTGTTGCTGATAGAAAATATGCGAGTTTGTGTTTAAGGGTAAGTGCAGTGACATAAGCATACAAAAAGCTACATTGTCATTATTATTATTTTTATGGTATTAAAATAATCTGTCATCCAGGTTCTTTGTAGATCCTTTTCAGTGGCGCTGTTCTTGATCTGTGCACGGTAAACAAAACAACCGGGGGGTCATTTCTTTGTAAAACCAACTAAGAGTTTTCTCTTCAAAATTTGGAAGTGTAGCTGGAAATGGAAGGAAAAGAACAGGACACAAAACATTCCTCCAATCTTCCAGTTAGATTGTTCGTTTGCACCTTTGCAAGACTCAAAATGTATTCTGTAGATTGATCTTCCGTTGCCAAGACTAACTGCCTCATGAGTTCTGCCATGGTACATTTGTCCATCCTTGAGGCTGTGTGGTGTTTTGCTACAGTCCAAAAATCCCCAAGCTTCAAAGACTCTTCATCTGGACCGTGAAGTTGTTGTTGGTTGATTTTACATGGAATGACCCACCACGGCTCCCTCGCGACTTAGACGTCGGACGCGACATGTCACTTGAACGCAGCCCGCCGGCTCATTCTCACTGTGGCTTGCTTGCAATTAAGATGGCCGACGTCCACCTGTCCGCTGGGTTTCTACAGCAGCAGCGGCGTGTGCTCCCCGGCTGGCTCCATCCGCTTTGTGAGCTGCCGCGCTCGAGCCAAAAGGCGGTTGGGCAGAGACGGGAAGTGGTGGCTCGGGTCCAGCACGTTGGTCTTACGCCGTTCGCGCTCCTGCAGCCACATGAGATACGGGCTGGGCGGGAAGAAGGGCCGCGTGCGCTCCCGGTACAGTTGCAGGACGATGCCCGCGACGCCGAGCACCACCCACACTGTAATCATGATGTAGTCTAGACAAGAGAAAATGACGATGAAAACAACCTGAGAAAGATTTTCTCCAAGCACGGCATCCCAATACACTTAAAAGCCAGTAAGAACCTCAGGGTTATAATAGCTTTGGATTCGTCATGATAGTTACCGTATTTTCCGTACTATAAGGCGCTTCGGAGTATAAGGTGCACCTTCAACAAATGGCCTATTTTAAAACTGTTTCTATATATAGGGTGCACCGTATTATAAGGTGCATAGAATAGAAGCTACAATCATGGCTGCGGTTGCGGTATGCATCCACGAGATGGAGCTATGCTAAAGGGAATACAATACAATACAATACAGCTATAATTATATAGAGCTTTCACAATGTTTCCAAGAACCAAGAAATAGTCCACTCGCGCCGGTTTTCGGTTGAGCGACATTCACGAGCTCACCGATGGTTTGGAACGGCACGTCGGTGAAGGCGGCGCTGAAGTTGTTGTTGAGGAAGCGCTTGAGGATGTTGAGCGTGATGTAGGAAAGGCTGGTATAAATGTAAGCGTTCACCGCCAGGATGACGGCGTACGCGCCGATGACGCCGCACGTTACGATGTTACCCTGTCGAGAGAAGGCGTCAATTTCTGAAATTCGAAACGCTACGATCCAAAAGGCGGCGCCGGGTTACCTCTCGGGGCCAGCGCATGAAGAAGAGCGGGACGATGATCATGATGCTGCAGAAGGTCACCCAGAAAACGGCGTCGGAGCGCCTGAACACTTCAAAGTCCCCTGCAGGAGGACCAAAAATATATTTTTTCCGATTTTTTTCAAACATTTTGGATTTGTTCCTACCGAGAGGAGTGAAGAGGACAGTGGCGGCCACCATGAATCCGAGCATCAGGCCGACCACCACCACGCACGCCATGACCGAGCCGAAGCGCCACCAGCTCATCACCAGCAGGACCCCGCCCACCACGCCGATCACCGCCGACACGGCCAGCCTGACTGCGAAAAAAAAAAAAAGCGCAGAGCGAGACGTTCGTAACGCGGCTGGCGGTTTTCTCACGTGGAGACGGACGCAAACGACTCACTGTCGTAATCCAGGCTCGTGGTCCTGGTGATGAGCACGAAGAAGAAGAAGGCGGAAAAGCTGAAGCCCATGCACAACAACTCTGTCGGGGTGGGGATACAAACAGAAACCGGAGCGGCGTCACGTTGGAAACGAGCGGATGGATAATCATGGGTTGCTTTTGGATCTCTGGCGACATCACATGAAGGAGGACCGCATGAGAGACGAGACGATTTGGGTCAACTGTGACCAGTGAACACCAACACCATCAAGTGACGGCTGGGGGGGAAGCGGTTACCATGGTGACATGCGCCACACTGGTTTTCCTCACGCGCACTGCGGGTATCCGGATACAAACCAGGAGGGGCAAGTCATTTTATGGATTTGAGTGTAGCTGTCGTTCATTTTGTTTTTTTTAATTTCAAATAATAATAATGGCTATGTCAGGATTTGGACTGAATTCAACAAAACACCATATTCATAAGATGTCGCTATTCGGAAACGTCAATAGCCGTTGTTCAAGCATTTGTAGCTCTTTGAAAAGCTAAAAAAAAAAATTTGCAGGAAATCAAGACCAAGCCCTGTCACAAAAAAAAAAATAATAATCACGAGAAGTGATTAAAAAAAAATAACGAGAAGTGATTTAAAAAAAAAAAAATTCAAAATTGTCAGTATTTTAAACCTTAAAAAATAACTGGCTTTGGAAAGCTAAAAAAAAAAAAGTACAGTAAAACACTGCAATTTGCCAGAAATCGGGACCAAGCCCGGCCACAAATTGGAAAATAAATAATGAAAAGTGATTTAAAAAAAAAAAAAAATTTTGAAATGTCTATCAGTATTTTAAACCTTAAAAAAATAACTGGCTTTGTAAAGCGAAAAAAAAAAAACAAAATGTTGGACAGTAAACCCCGGCAATTTACCGGAAATCACGACCAAGCCCTGTCAAAAATTGGACAAAAAAAATAACGAGAAGTGATTGAAAAAATGTTTCGAAATGTCTACCAGTATTTTAAACCTTAAAAAATAACTGGCTTTGTAAATTAAAAAAAAAAAAGTTGTACAGTGAACCCCGGCAATTTTCCGGAAATCAGGACCAAGCCCTGTCACAAATCAGAAAAAAAAAAAATCACGAGAAGTGATTAAAAAAAAAAAATGTTTCAAAATGTCTTTCAGAATTTTAAACCTTAAAAAAATAACTGGCTTTGTAAATTTAAAAAAAAAAAAGTTGTACAGTGAACCCCGGCAATTTTCCGGAAATCACGATCAAGCCCTGTCACAAATCGGTCAAAAAATAACGATAAGTGATTAAAAAAAAAAAACGTTTTGAAATGTCTTTCAGTATTTTAAAAATAACTGGCTAACACATGATTTAATTACGACAAAATGCACCGAAAACGCGCACGTGCATGCACCTGCGGCGAAGACTCTGCAACACTTCCACTAACAACCCAGGCTAAACTTCGCTCCACCCCAACAACAATTCAAGATGTATCACTTGAACAAACTCCCTTGACGCTAATTACGAGTTCCCTCTTAGACGGACGGGGGGGCTTTGGTGCCATCAAAAAAAAAAAAAAAACTAGAATAGAGAAATTTGAGATTCAATGTGTTCGAAAATGACGCGACAATGAAGTAAAAGCACTCACCTGATTTGAAGAATCGGTGCCCAAAGAAGCAGACGAAAAGACCTGCTAAGCCGGTGATCGTAAAGAAAATTTTCGTGGTTATCTTTCCTGAAAAGGCACAAAAAAAAAAAAAAAAAAAACTCAACTATTTTCAAGAATTAAAAAAATGTTTAAAAGTCGCAAAACGGTTTCAACCCATACCCAGCGTTTGACAGCCGTCCAGTTTGGAGGCGAAGCTGCAAGCGTACGTGTGGACGGGGACGTACGACGCCGACGTGTTGAGGACGGGATCTCGAACGATCACCGAGTAAATGACGCCCTGGCCGGGGATGGAGCTAAACATCACGGTGCTCATTTCCGTCGAGGACAGCGTCATAATCTGCAGGAGACAGCGCGAAGACTTCCAACGGCTGAAATTACTTTCGACGATTTCGGCGTCGGTTTTACGTACGCGTTTGCCGCTCTCCCTCATGCCGTCCACGTCCCCCACGGCCTGGACGGCCCGGAAGAGGCTGCGTTCCGACAAGTCGTTCTCGGGCAGGAAGTACTGGTAGACGTCGTACTGCAGGCGCCAGCGCGTGTTGGCCCCCGTGGACGTGTCGCAGGATGGCGGAGCGCTGCCCCTGTGGGACGAGTAAAATTCCGTCAAAACGTCATTTTCCCGATTTTTGTTTGTTCAGGTGTTTTGTTTCATTTTCTCTCCTTTTGCTTTCTGATTTGACAAAGCTGCGTCTGATTTCGTGACGGTTGACGGACACGCCCGAGAAACTGGAACGGAGACTACGAAATCAGTTAAAGGGGGAAGGGGAGGCGACTGAGCACGAGACGGTTACAGAAGAAAAACTGCGTGGCGTGATGAGGCACATGTGAGCTGTCAGCTGCTGGCGCAGGAACCCCCGTGAAGTTACTATACCTCTCATATCCCAGGTTGGCCGGCGCGAATCGGATGGTGGTCTCGAAGAGGTTGTAGCGCAGGTAGACGTTGGGGTCCACGTTCAGGTTAAACTCGATGTTACAACCGCCGGGTAGGGGGTCTGGAGCAGTCGGGGGAGGAAGGGTTAGTTGCGCCATGTCATGATGACTTGCTGTTGAAAGGCAGGCGCGTGATCATCAAACACCCGACGGCCAACATTTGGAGCCCCCCCAAAAAAAAACAAGATAAACTGACACACTTCAACTTATGGTGAAAGTGCTTCAGCTTTGATTTTGCAGAAGCACGAATGACAACACACAACTTCCTCACAGCTTATGCAACGGAACCGCAAGCTGACTTTTTGCTTCGGGTTTGGGTCGGGTCGGGCTTCTCTCTCGCTGACTTTTTTTTTTTTTTTTTTTCGGGGACGGCGGTTACTCCCTTCCAATGTTCCCGGGGGGCAAGAAAGGGGTAAAGATATAAATAATGAAAGAGAGAGAAAAAAAAAAAAAGGACGTCGATGGCGTACCCGTGCTGGAGAAAGGCAGAATCACGCCTGTGCCTGTGACGGTGCTTCCATCGCTAGAGAACAGGAACAAGGTGAAGGATGTTTGTCCCGGTAGGAGAGGGAACAGGATACCTGTGTCCGCTGCCGTTGAAGAGAGACCAAACACTGGTGTCTAAACACAAATAAAAACTGGACGTTAGTTAGTTACAAAAGGATCCATCCATCCATCCATTTTTAAACACCGCTTATCCTGAACAGGGTCGCGGAGAGTTGCTGGAGCCTATTCCAGCAGACTACACACATAGAGACAAACGAGCATTCACACCCACGTTCACACCGTCACTGGGTGTGAACTTATCCCACGCTACCCGCACACAAGTCCGGCGTGTGTACCACTACACCATCGGCGGCTACAACAGGATCAGGAACGTTATAACCCTTTCATCCATCCTGTGACTTGCTAAGCTGTCCACTGTAGTATTCCGCTGTCCCTGAAAGGGTTAATTTGATGTGAAAACAAACAAAAAAAAAAAATCGATTTTGTCCGAAAATAATGTAGCGAAAAGGTTCGCAAGAGCCAGTGGTGTGCAAAGGGGTGACCCGAGGGGGGCAGTGTTGCCAGGCAACGACGGCTGTAATATACATTTTGATTGTCGTAAGTGCTAAAGGACCAAAAAATTTTACTTTCATTATTCATTCTGTTCTTTTTTTTTTTTTTTAACCAGCCGTTTAATATGTTAGCAGAATTTTCAACCTCAACCTACTTTAAAATGTTTAAATTAAATCAGTTCATGCACTTAATGTCGGTTTGCTGTTCGGTAGTTTTGTGCCGTCCTTGAATGTTTTTTTGTTTTTTTTTCTCCCACGGGAGTCATTTGCACTCGGGAACAAAAACAAATTCATACTATGTGGTTACTTTTTTGATTATTTAAAAAAAAAATACTTTTTTTAAATTTAAAATTAAAATTTTTTTAAAAATATTTACATTTAAAATTTTTAAATCAATTTTCCATTTTAAAATGTAAAAAAAAAAAAAAAATATTCAAAAACCCTTTTGTTGCTAAAGGCCCAATCTTATAGGCATGGATTGAGAAATGCATGACATTTGGGTCTCATCCTACAATCGTATCAACTGATGCTTTTATGAAGATCTCCGATGATCTTAAAACAACCCCCCACCCACAAAAAAAACCCCCAAAAAAACATAATTGTGACTGGAAACCACCCTTATTGACTTATTTGACAAGTAAATGACGGCCATTAATTGAAAAATTGAATTCCATTTCAACGTCATGCTTTCTTCAAAAGGATCGTCCGCAACTCAATCAAACCAAAAACGTGTTAACCTTGAGTTACCGTGAAACAGCCCGGCAGCGCTCGGCTCGCCCGCAGAGGACGACGTTCACAATCACAGCTTTTGTACAAGACGCCGCCTTGTTTTGGCAGCGGCGCAATGACCGCAAAATGCGCATTGGATTTGGTTTACCAGTGAATTTATCCGATGCGCCACGGATAAATCCTAATTTATTTCGCAATTATTTGAAACGGAGCTGTGGAGAATGTTCATCGTGTTCTAATTTCAGAAAAAAAAACACAATCCTCCTGTGAAATTCCTTTTAGAGGGTCTGATCTCCCCGCCTTGTCAAATCTTGACCTTAATTTCTTTTCCTTTTGCCTGGAAAAAAATAATAAACTGGGTCGGTTTTAAACATGACGTGATTTTATCGGGTTATGCGGGTGGGTGTCATCAGCCGTCGGTCCCGAAAAAGAGAAATGTGATGTCGTAAATCACAGGTGTCAAACTCAAGGCCCGGGGGCCAGATCTGGCCCGCCACATCATTTTATGTGGCCCGCGAGAGCAAATCAAACATGTCAACTTCCACGATGCTTGCTAAAATCTGTACCAAAATTTAAACCTCTCAAATGGAATACATAAAGATAGTGTTAGCATTTTCTTGTTAGCAAACCCCTTATTACAGCAACTTAAACAATAGTTGAATGAACCGTCTTGACTTCTTTATTTCAGTCATCAACGGTAACTAAAATGTGGCCCGCAACAAAAATCAGTTTGACACCCCTGTCGTAAATAAAGGACGACGGTGGACGACACGCAGCGCTGTTCTTTCTTCCTTCTAGACATGTGACCTTTTGTTCGGCGGAATAAGACGCGCTTTGTTTGAGAAAAAGGCAGACTTTGTGCTTCGCTGCCATACTACTGTTGCCGCACATGTTCGGATTCTCCTTCTGCCTTCTCTCGTGAATAAACTGCATTTTAGAGATTAAGAAGTGGGTTACGTCACAGAAATTGGACTCAATCCTCCCAAAAACAGTCGTGGCCTTACGGTGCTGTATGACAACGTGACGTTGTGCCATTGAGTGTGGAACTGCACGGTGGCGAAAGCGACCTCGGCGGGGATACCGGTGGCCACGGCCTGCACCGTCTCGTTCTCCGACACGCTGACGTTCTGGAAGGCCCCAGGGAGGAAAACCACCCGATCTGTCACAAGAGAGCAATCCGTTTTCATCGAGCACAAGAATCACATTGTCCACGGTATGCGTTTCGCCAGCTCAAACATTATTCATATTCACCAAGAAGAAAGCTGTGGAAAAAAATGAGATGATAGTTTCTGACCATTTTTTTCCCCGGTCACAGAGAACCTTGCCGACCGATAAAATCGTACTTTGGTGGGCCTCACTTGAAAAGGATGAAGAGCATGCAGAATGGATGATCATTCTCCGCTCCTGCTGCGCTTATCCCATCTGACGTTTTTGCAAGTCAGTCTCCAGCTCTGCCAATTTTTTTTTTCTTTTTCTGATTTAAGTAGAAGCACGTGAGTCATAAGGACTTGTTTGTGTGTGTGTGTGTGTGTGTGTGTGTGTGTGTGTGTGTGTGTGTGTGTGTGTGTGTGTGTGTGTGTGTGTGTGTGTGTGTGGTGGACCTTAACCAACATAAACACCTTTATGTTCCAATAAAAAAACAAAAACAAAAGCATGTATACACTACCGTTCATAAGTATTGGGTCACATTAAAGTGACCCAGAAACGGTCTCGATATTGCTCATGTGTTAAAAACAGCACTTATCTTTCACAATTAAGGCATTTTGACGAGACACCCAATCGATTTGTGGGGTATCTTTAGAATAATGTGTGTTTATGAAAAACATGGTATTGTCTGGTTGAACCCAAAATTGTAAATCGTAGTGTGTATGTATACGCTGGATAAATGAAAAAAAAACATATTTCCTGTATACACAGTTGATTATACACTAACATTGGCATAGTAATGCTCTTCCAACAGATATTTTTAATGTATTCATAACATCATATTAAGTCAAAAACAAAACAACGTCGTAAAAGCAATCTAGTTTCGATGGTGTACTTACTTTCACCCTGAGCTTGAACGTCACATACTGAACGCGACATCAACAGCCAAAATATCCACCGAATCATTGTTGATGTCCTTTAATCTCACCACGACGCAAACGGTTATCCCGAAAGCTCCCGTCAGTCATTTGTAACTTCGAACCCGCCTATCTTTTGATGGTTTAATTCCCCGCGGGCGAAGGATCGACATGCTTTGCTGAGTGACACAACTTGAGTGTTCTTGTGCTCGCGGTCTCCTTCTTCGACCCTCTCGGAGGTCTGTGAACGCGCCCTTTTCGAGATTTTTCGAAGTCGCGCGATATTTTGATCCGAAACGCCCACTGACTCTCTGGCGGCTGAACAAAACGAACCACCGTAAAGGCACACACATTTTTTAACTTATTTTAAGGAGATACTTCCACGAACACATCTTATGATCTATTTCATTGGGTGAACATAACCGCTACAAAGTATTTCTCAGCCACGGGACATCAGAGAAGGAAAACCGCTTTCTTTAGCACACAAGACAACTCGACCGCACTGGTGTAAAGCCACAATGTGCAAGATTTGTGTGCAATGTGTCTGTCTGCGCAACCGCATATGAAACTACCTCATGACACCTCGCGCAATATTTTTAGATTATGTACACATTTGCAGCCACATTAAGCTCAGTATGTACAAACCTTTTTTTTTTATTAACGCCTTGACTCTTTTTACCGCTTTAATTTAAGTGTGTGATGTATTTGGACTCAATTGCTTTTCTTGTGTAGTTCAGCCTTCGACAGTTTACTTCGAACGTTTACACATTCCTCATTTGTTTACTTCTTTCTTGACTCGGGGACACGCACGAGGGTTCCAATGTGCTTGTTTTTTAATTTGCACAAATGGGCAATCGACTTTAAATATTTGTTTTGATTGAAGCTTGAAATAGTTAGCATTAGTAGTTACTTTTTTTCAGGGCAAAAAAACGATTGTCTCAGGATAAAATGCCGATGGGACTGAACCGTTCATCATACATCATATGCACCTTATGATTTTTAACAGTGAAAAGTGCGACGGAAATAGCTTACTTAGGTTAAATTAATATGGCAAAGCACGACTTAATTCACGATTTTCATCTGTTACGGCAGATTCCTTTCATTCAGTTATTGTATCGATTTAATTCGTCTGTTACAAGAGTGTCCAACAATAAAAACTGTGAAAAAATAAACTCCATATAAAACAAAGAGATAATACTTTATTTGATAATCGTATAGATTTTTTCAAGCTCACACTTTTTTTTTTTTTAAATCTCACTCATACTTTCAAGTTATTGCAAGTGGCACAGGCTTTGCTCGCCACACCGGCAAACCTAAAAGAAGTACCAAAGTAATGAGAAGGTGATTGTTCAAATGCAGCTCTGGAGGAGATTGATACAGTAGATGCACTGGCATTTGGCAGTCAGGGTGGAGTGGATCCATGGGAGGAAAACTGGTGCGTCCCAAACACATTGTCGTGGAAGCGTGGATGGTCAGTCCCGTTTTCACTTCCAGGTCTTTTGTGAGCCGACTATGTGTTGGTCAGTGGCGGTGAGAGCGACGTGCTGTCTGACGCGTCCTCTCTCTTCAGGATCAGGAATGCTTCGCGACTGATTCCGAGCAGTTCTCTCAGTCCTTTGTTCTCCAGCTACAGCATAGAAACATGACTTGGGTATTATTTCAATTTCAGAGCGAAATGCTCATTCGCTTTTTTTGTTTGTTTGTTTTTTTTTTTTTACCTCGAGCCGTTTAACCCTCTCTTCATCTTGACATAGCCGCCCCTCGTCCACCTCGATGGCTTTCCTCATCACGGACGCCATCTCGTTGATCTTGTCGGCATGTGCTTGGAGTTCCTGTGAAGAAAGTTAAGGTGAAAACGTGAGGAAGTCTGGGTTAGCCAGGGCTAATTTCCTCTCCGCTGACCGTTGTGTGCTGCTCCTTCAGTTGTGTCATAATAGTGGGATCGTCCCTCTTCCTTGCCATGAGCAGCCTGAACCTCTGCTCCTTATATTTGTTCATGATGAGTCCCAGCGCAGACTGGTGTTCCTCCAATGATGTCCGCAACTCTGCACAAACAGTGAGCAGAATTAGTTAAAAATGATAATATAATGTCTTACTTTTTTTTCCCCCATGTGAACCTTTGTTTTCCAGTTGGAGAGCTCTGATTTGACGATTTTCCTGTTGGATGCCCAGGATCAGACTGGATCGAGGCCGATGACGTGCCACCTGGTTTAGGGTGTCAATCTCCACTTGGTACTGGTAAATAAATGCGCAAATGTATCTCTCGCTCAACAGGGGTGATTTTAATTCAGTCGTCATGTTGACCTTACCTGCTTCATGGCATCCACCCGCTTGTTGAGGAATGTCGTCTGCTCGATTAACAGCTCTGCGGCGTTGTCGTGGTTACGGAGCCGTTCCACCAATGATTTGGCGTCGGCCAGGACTTTCTCCAAAGTACAATTCATGTCTGAAGAGATACAACACACCCTTAGGAACAAAGCTTTTAATAGATTTCAAATGCTCTCTGATTTCTTTCTTGTCTTATTTCTTGACTTCACTCGTACGTTACAGAGAGACTCGGGCACGCTCTGACTTTCGTACAATTTTGGGTTACGTTGCTGCCAAAGGATTGGAATGCTATTCTTCTGTGTATCACTTTAGCTATAAAACAATATTTCACTCCCTTCTGTCAAAACACACTGGCTAAGTTTTAGCCTAAATTGCATTTTAAATCAGTCGGGGAAAAATAAAATCAAGTGAATAAGGACGTACTTATTCAGCTATTATGAGGGAGGAAAAACATTCACTTTGCATGCTGCCGCACTTATTGTTTTGCTGGACAGTCTTCGTTGTATTCACAGTTGCTAAAATGCTACGCTAATGGAAGCAGCATCGATATATAAACGAAGCGATGTAATAATAGATCGTGTGTAATATAACACTATATTGTTAAACGTCCTAACTAGGTGGGAAAAACAAGATCGAGATTACCTGGAGAGCTCAAAGTGCAAGACATTAGCTTTTAGCTCGGCCGCTACTTCCTGTTGATGTTTGAGAGCTAGCATTAGCTATAGCCACAGCCCGGTCCACAATAAATGGGTCACAAAAGGTGGCTCCAGGTTTTATTACAAGTGGTCACGTTCAAAACAAAATCGCGTCACGGTGGCACGGTTTACAGACTTTGTTCGTTCTTGTAAAACGGGTCCGTGAAATGATTAACAGGGATTATAAACGAAAATACTGTCAGATGCTATCGTCGAGTCTTCGGGTTTTGATGGCACGCAGATCTCGTAGAATCTCACGTGATTACAAATACAATTCACAAAAAGAAAACGTGATGAAAAATGTCAATTTATGGAAAATAATAACAAAATGTTCTGTATTTTTATATTGTATTCCAATACGGACGTAATTTGCTACAATTAAATGTATTTTTTAAAATACAAATGGTGAACCACAGGGTGGCACCGTTGAGTCGGACTGACTATCAAACGAAGAAGACAGTAAAAAAAAAATGGCGGATAGGCTAACGCAATTACAAGATGCTGTCAATTCGGTATGCTATTGCTCAGTGTTTACGAATAGTTTCGGTGTGGACGTGGTTTTGAAACATGTTTTAATAACTTATGTGTTTGTGTTTGTAGCTTGCAGATCAGTTTTGTAACGCAATCGGGGTTCTGCAACAGTGTGCTCCGCCTGCCTCGTTCAGTAATATTCAGACATCGATCAACAACGAACAGCCTGCAAACCAAACTGAAGGTTCTCGATTAACACCTCTCCGTTGCCTTTCCTTAGCTCAACTTGTATATGCAATGGGATAACAGAGAATTGTTTTTAAAAAGCCATTTTGAGTGGACTGCATACTACTGACAGGCGTTTCTTTAGAGTAAAGTATAATCAAATATGGGCAGTATAAGTGAAAAATCTTCAGAAAAGCACGCATTTCTGTAAAGAAAAGAAAAACAAAACAGTCATTGTAGTGTCTTCATCACTTCCCACCACGACTAACCTTGCGTGATTGCCAAAGACATAATTTTTAGATGCCGGGTTGTTCAGCTTTTCCCCAAGTTAGCTTTGATCAAACAATAAACAATTGTCTTCTTCTACATTTAGAATATGCACAGCTCTTTGCAGCCCTCATTGCCAGGACGGCCAGAGACGTGGACGTGCTCATCGACTCTTTGCCGAGCGAGGAGTCCACAGCAGCTCTGCAGGTCAGTGGTTGTCCACCCCACAGCAGGAGTTGCCTGTGACACCAACACCATAAGAAGTGGAATCAGGCACACAGAGACGATAGCTGGGAGCATTTTCCACACACGTAAGGGCAATGTAGAGTCTTCAAATAACAGCATATTTTTGGAACCTGGGAGGAAAACACGCAAGCACAGGGCAAATATGGAAACTGGACACAGACATGTTCTGATTAAGATTCAGACACAAATGTCTTTACTGTGGGGCAGATGTGCGAATGGCATGGAGTTGTCCAAACTTGCCTGAAATAGAAAGAATAGTCGCTTTTGGTCAGCAGAGGGAGCTATGCACACTCATTCCTCATTTCCTCCACCAGGAAGTTCTTCTGTCATTGCTTTTCTATTTATGTGCTGCTCCCTGGCGACATAAAAAAGAAAAAAATGACAATGCATCCCACTCTCCAAAAACCTCAGCAAAGTTGCTTTTAAAATCACTTGAGTTTCTTGATCTAAATTCTAGCCTGCATTTTTTTTTCGCCGTGAAGATGGCAAATTATTTGTTTTTGCATGCGACAAGTGTTCTGAGAGATCTGCTCACTGAATGCTTAACCGTTGGAGTATTTCCTGTTTTTATTTCCTGGAATTCTCATACATGAGCTCATGTTGTACTTTCGACTTTTTGAGGTGATATCCTGTATTTCCTCATCTGTAGTTTGTCTGTTTTTGCTGCACAACCACACATCTTTTGGCACACAAACAGCATCAACCCGAAAGATTGTGACACGATTGTGCTACTCCCCATCAGGCGGCCAGTCTGCGACAACTGGAGGAGGAGAACCACGAGGCCGCCGCCCATCTGAAAGAGGTGGTCACCCGAGGCGACATGCTGCTGGAGAAGATCCAGAGCGCCCTGGCTGACATTGCCCAGTCTCAGCTCCGCACCCGCAACGGCGCACCTAGCCAGACTTCGCCTGCCGAATCCTGACCTGCTCAAAACGGCCTCGTTTCACATATTACTGACCTTATTTATAACACTCAGCTGCGAGCCTCCAAAACCATGCTGGAGCAATCTGTCGGGTGAAAAAAAAAAAAGCCATATTTGATCACTTCACACAGGTAGACTAACTCAAATGTTTACTTGAGGGGTGGGGGGGGGGCAGTATTGTCTGGCTGCAGTTGTTTTTTTTGTACTGTATATTCATTTTGTAAATATTTATGACCGAGAACTGATTCAATGCTCTAATGGGCATTTTTTTTAAATAAACCGTGAATAAACAGTTTTGTTTATCCAAAAGTGTTTAGATAGTTTGTAACATACAAGCAAAGGGAGGATATTTATTGTTAGCATGTGCTCACAAGCAATGCTTTCCTCTCAGGGAAAAAAAAAAAAAATAGGAAGTGGCATTTTTTTTTCTTGTCTACATTTCCTAATTTTAGATTCTATCAGCAGTACATATATAGCAGTGGGAAAATGTCAAGTTGGAAAAGGAGAAGAGTGACGCGGATCATGTTTGGGGTACCTTCAACAACAGCAAATTGAAGTCACCCCTGAGGCCCCCAGACTTTATTGGCCCAAAAATTAAAAATAGAAACCGCGTCATAGCTTGGTGGGCAATGTTGACGTCGAGATTTATTTTAAAAACCCTGTGCTGAGCACCACACCCAGGATAAAAAGTGTCAACGGGTCACGCCCACATCCCTCCACCCATGTACACTGACATCATTGCTTTTTCATTAAAAAAAGAATGGAATTGCCCACATATAGAGACTCTCTCTATCGGAATTTATAGCAAACTGTCCCTCATTACGTCACTTTCACGTTTTCCATTTATAAGCCTGGATCGCAAATCCCCAAATGACCTTTTATTGTCCTTAACTTCAACGTAACTTGAAGAATGAAATTTTATTTTTAATGAAAATGTGTGATTCAAAACACTGTTATATGTAGGAAAATACAATTATGATCAAGGAATAACGATGAAACAAGACTAAAAATGCTTGGAAACAGTGACTTCTTTCATTAGCGCAAAGCGGTCTAATGAATCTGCGTCCGAACGAAGGGGCGGATCCAAACTCCCTATTGGCTGACACTCTTGTCATTGTCAAAAATCCCCCCAGCGTGATTGGCTGCTAATACTTTCTCCACCGCTGATTGGCCCGAGTTGACGTCACTCCAAAGCTACGCCATTGCGTAACTGTAGCGACTGATGAGCCCGACGGTCCTTGGAAAACTGAAGCCACCTTTTCACATTTTTTTCACCAATAAGACAGGTCAACCGCCATACGCAGACTCCAGAGGGGGACTCATGAAGATAGTTTTTTTTTTTTTTAATTAATTTAATGTTCGCCTGCCGTCTGCGGCAGAAGAAATAAGCCATGTTTTGTTTTTGATATCAGCGCGATGTTTAACGGTGTCGCTCTATAGAGGTTCCCCGTTAAAGGGAAACAGTTAGCTTCATAAGTGGAGCCTCCAGCATTTTCTGCCTACATTTTAGGCAGAAAAGACGCTTTCGGGTCAATATATTTTTTTGTTTTCACTGGCTCGGGGGGCTCTTGCCCAGTCAATATTTGACTCTGGAGCCGGACACGGAGGTAGGTTGAGCCCGTGTTATTTAAAAAAATAAAAATAATAAAATACTGGCTATTTTTACTCCTGTTTGCTAATGGAACCTGTTCGCCTGGCGCAAATGGAATACAGCAAGCATGAGAGAACCTTTTAAATAATTGCTTATCTCTTGAAAATAAACTAAAGGGACGTCAATATCAGTCGTGAGCTACATTCTATTTTTATGATGTCCGTGGTGGGCTAAAAGTAGGTGTACGTTTCAAATGTTTTCATCATATTACATTTAGACTTTCCCCCCGACCCCATGACATGTTTTCCATCTTTTCTTCCCCGTCGGTGTTTTTTATTCCCTCCATTTTTTCCTTCTTTCTTTCAGTTTTTATTTCTTTCTTCACACCTTTTTTTATTCATGCATCCTTTCATTCTTTCGTTCTTCCTTCCTTCCTTCCTTCCTTCCTTCATTCCATCCTTACCTCAGATGCACTCTTGATTCATAATTAAACCAGTTTCTTTTTTTTCTTTTTCTTCCAATCCCAAGTTTTCTTTCCTGTTTTTTTTCTCTCAGACTTCTTTACATCATTCCATTCTATGCTTTAAACCACTTTCCTTCCTTCCTTGTGTTACACCATTTTTTAAAATTTTATTCTTGCATCCTCGCATCCTTCCTTCCATGACTTAAATCTGCCTTATCCGCCTGCTTTCCTTTCCATCGGAAATTGCGCCGATGCTGAGCATAAAATGAACTGAGCCAGTCCTGCGAAAGGAATTTCTTATACTTTTGTCCCCATTTTTTGGCTGGAATAAGCAAAGTAAGGAAGGCCTTTTATTATGATGTAAATAACAACAATGATAATAATATCTGATGAAAACATCAGATTTTCATCAAAATTGTCAGTATTTTCCATTCAAACAGCCTTGCACATCAATATTGTACAATTGTAATGGTGAATTTTATACCCATTTCTTGCATAATGTGACCTTTTTGAAAAAAAAAAGGTTATTGTTGATGTCTGTGCGAACGAAATGGATTGCCATTTTGAATGCAACAGGAATGATCATCACTGCTTCTTCACCCTTCTTTTTTTTTTTTTTTTTTTAAATTAGTCATGTGCGTGCAGCCCATTCCTGTCCTTCGCGTCATGACTGGACTCTTTCATTCAGGGATGGAAAGTTTCCTGGCAGGTCTCCTTTTAAAGTCCTTTTAAGGGGGGAGCGTGCGCATGAGTCTGCCTCTGTCTGTAATACGTACGGTACGGACACGTCACACCGAATGTCATGTCAGAAATAGTATTTTAGAGGAGGGGTTTCTTCAAGGTAAAGCAGCACAACATCCACGTTGGCTTCCCATTTTCCACTTGGTATCAACTTCCCAATTCAAGTGTCACTTACTGACATTTTTTTCTCCCTTTGAAGTAAATCAGGAAGTTTCTTGTTTTTGTGAGATTGTTGTGGTCAGGACTAGACCAAACATGGCCTCCCTATCTCCGGCCTGCAGAGACATTCTTTTTTTTCTTCTTTTTTTTTTTTTAAATCTCAGTATGATCTAATCAAGACCACTCATACTTTTCTACTGGCATCCTGACAAAAGGTTTTAATGATGTCCCATATGGAACGTGTCCGCCCGCTTCCTTTTTTTGCCGAATTGTTTATTCTTGGTCATCTATCACCACGAAGTACCACAGACTGAGATCTCATCTCTTTGTGCGTTCCCGACAGGAGAGCATGGCCATGACAGGAGGGACTGCAGCCGCCCTCCCCATGAGCAACCACACCCGTGAGCGGGTGACCGTGGCCAAACTGACGCTGGAGAACTTCTACAGCACGCTGCTCACCCAACACGAGGAGCGCGAGATGAGGCGAGCCCCATCACAAACAATTACCGCGCGCGACTCCAAGTGTCAAAGCCGCCCGACGCACGGTCGGAGTGTTTGGTTGCAAGCAGATATCGATCACGTTACAGCAGAGCTGATCTTGGATGCAAAAAGATTCTTTGCCCAAGATCTGAAACTTTTTCTTCCTCTTGTCCATCCCCATCCCCAAACTCCTCTCCAACAAAATCATGTTTGCAGCCAGAAATTTTTCACAACAGGGGACTTTTCACTGTAGCAAATTTGATCTCAGACGTAAACACGAATACACACAAAAAACGGATATGTGTACTTTTTATTTTTATTCCAATAGCGCATAAGTATGAGCATACACTTATTTGACACTTCATATAGCCAGCGTAGAAAAAAAAAGGGAAAGAAATTGCAAAATTTACGATCAGCATTTACTTTCACTTACATCAATTTCTTGCATTATGTATTTTATTTTACTTCCTCCATCTTTCATTTTTATTACCTTTATCCTGTCTTCAAGTGTTAAAGCTTTTCATTTCTTAACTCCTTGGTCTGCAAAGGTCCGTTTTGTCGCCATTTTAGCAAGGCGGCGTTCGTGCTGCGTCTGAAACAAAAACTTCCTTACTACTACTGCGCATGTGAAAACCAGTGTGGTGGTTGCTGTTGCCGTTTCCGAACGAAGTAGTAGAGGTCGCTGTGGCATGCTGAGGTTGGATTAGAGTTTCGCGGAAGGCTTGTTTTCATTGTAGTGAATCTCGTTGCGAGGCAAGAGCAGAGAAAAAGATTTCGTATAACGGACCAGGGGGGCTTTTCGTTGTAGGGGGAGCAGAAAAGTGGGAATGGCTTTCATGCATTAAAATGTTTTCACACTAGGGGGTATTTTCGCCCATGTAGGTTTCGTTGTAGAGGAGTTTCACTGTATATAGATATGATCACTGTAGCTTGAGTTGTTGTTTCTCTGTTGCTAGGCAGAAGAAGCTGGAGAAGGCCATGGATGACGAGGGCTTACCAGATGATGAGGTAAAGCTCGCGCTTGCAAACGTTGGCGACGCGCTCTTAAGTGAAAAGATGGATTTGAAGCGCCGCAGGACCGTAAGTGTTTGCCAAGTAGGGAGCCCTGATCGTTTTTTTTCTCTTCTTTCTTTTGGCAGAAAGTGATGCGGCGTTCCCAGCATGCTCGCAAGGAGACCGAGTTTTTGAGACTGAAGAGGACGCGGCTGGGCTTGGATGACTTTGAGTCGCTTAAAGTCATCGGACGTGGTGCTTTTGGAGAGGTACGCTGGAGAAAATGGTTTCATTTATTTATTTTTTTCGACACTTGCTGTCTCTCATGACTTCTCCCGACAGGTGCGTTTGGTGCAGAAAAAGGACACCGGGCACATTTACGCCATGAAGATTTTGCGAAAAGCAGACATGTTGGAGAAAGAGCAGGTAAAAAGTCTTTCGAGCTGCTCCGGATGCTTTATGAGTTGCCGTTCATTTTTCCAATCCCGTGCAGGTCGCTCACATCCGGGCGGAAAGGGATATTCTCGTGGAGGCAGACGGCGCATGGGTGGTGAAGATGTTTTACAGCTTCCAGGATAAGAGGAACCTCTACCTCATTATGGAATTTTTGCCTGGAGGTGCGCACATATTTGACACGAGAAAAATCGTGTCCGCAAATAAAACGGCGTCGACTCTTTGCTAGGCGACATGATGACGCTGCTGATGAAGAAGGACACTTTGTCCGAAGAGGCCACCCAGTTCTACATCGCCGAGACGGTCCTGGCCATCGACTCCATCCACCAACTGGGTTTCATCCACAGAGATATCAAACCGGACAATCTGCTGCTGGACTCCAGGGTGAAGAGATGCCACGCGCATGTCATCATATCGCATCCGAGATCTGATGCAAATGTCGTTTTGCATCAAATTTGCACTCATGTCATCTCAGTTTGTTTTTTTTCTCTCCCCCCTTTCTCCTCACAGGGACATGTGAAGCTGTCTGATTTTGGTTTATGCACCGGACTGAAGAAAGCCCACCGAACGGAATTTTACAGAAACTTGACACACAACCCACCCAGTGACTTTTGTGAGCTCCACGACTTCTCATTTTGATGCAACGTAGACGACTGATGTTAAGGTGCAACCAATCGGTACTTATTGGTCTCTTTTTTCTTTTTTTTTTTTTTTTCACTGCAGCCTTTCAAAACATGAACTCCAAACGGAAAGCAGAAACCTGGAAGAAGAACCGGAGACAGCTGGTGAATCCGTACTGCTTATAACGTCGCACATAACTAACCGGATTTTGCACACTTTTCTCTCAATGGACCGTTTGTTGAAATGCATGTAAATTAATGATATGAGCGCTTGAACGCCCTCTGGAGGTCATTTGGTAAAGCCCAGAGGTGTCCAAACTTTTTCCCTTTTGAGGGACGCGAACAGAAAAATTCCGAATGTTTTCTCACTCTGTGATTTTTGTATTTTATTTTATTTTTTTAGGCTTATTCCACAGTGGGCACGCCGGACTACATCGCCCCTGAAGTCTTCATGCAGACGGGATACAATAAGCTGTGCGACTGGTGGTCCCTGGGTGTCATCATGTATGAGATGCTGATAGGTAAGCGCGTCTGTTTTGCGCACGTCGGAAAAAAATACGGATTGTCGCGTGCGTGTGAAAGGATGACGTTCGTTTCAGGCTATCCGCCGTTTTGTTCGGAGACGCCGCAGGAGACGTATAGGAAAGTCATGAACTGGAAGGAGACTCTCGTGTTTCCACCCGAAGTCCCCATCTCGGAGAGAGCAAAGGACATGATTCTGCGGTAGGTGCCATCTTGAAAATGGAAAACAACAAACCAAAATAGTCGTGAGTACTAAAACCAGCCGTAGTGTGGCGGCTGAATATTAGAAATTGCTTGTAAGGTAATTCGGACTGGAGCAAGGACAGCTCGAAATGCAATAGAAATTAAAAATATTTGACTTGCTCCCGATAAAAATCGAGTTTTGAAAATTATAAATGCGCCAATATAAAAATGTCAAATTGCTATATTGTTCCTGTGGCGTGAAAGGGCCTTTCGGGAATGTGAGTCCTGAGGGTCAAATGTATCTATGGAAGGGTCAATGAACAAAATTTTGTTTTGCAATAGCGAGACACAAAGCAACTGTGATATATTTGCCCAGGTTTTGGCCGAATGACATAAACTTTAATCCTTTGCGGGGAATTTCAATTCAAGTTGTTGAGCGGGGATGCAGCGCCCTCCAGTGGCTCAAACAAGCACTACTTTTTTATGACGAAATAACCTGCATTTTATCGTGATCTAATATTTTACTTCAATCATGATAATACGCTAACGTAAATCGGGAGAAAAAAATACAGCAACCCTGTTTAATATTTTGCAAGGTTTTTCAACTAAATATCAATTCTAAGTATGACTGAACCGGGTTCATTTTTACAGCAGAAGCGATTCAGTGTTGACCTTCAAATCACCGTGAATGAAGGTTGAAATCATGTAACGGACAGATTTTTTTTTTTAATGCTTCAGGTATTGCACGGATGCTGAGAACAGAGTCGGGGCAGGCAGCGTGGAGGAGATCAAAAGCCATCAGTTTTTTGAGCCCGTGGACTGGGAGCATATCAGGTACTTTTTGCTTTCATTTGCCCCCCCACGCCACATGACACTTTCTGAATATTTCCAACAGAGAGCGTCCCGCCGCTATTTCCATCGAGATAAAAAGCATCGACGACACCTCCAATTTTGACGAGTTCCCGGAGTCCGACATCCTCCAACCAGGTCTGAAACGTTCCTCCTCGAGTTTCCCCTCAATTACTCTCCTGCTGCTGCTGTTGACCCTCAACGCTTCTATTTTCATCCCAGCCAATGCCACAGAACCAGACTTCAAATCCAAGGATTGGGTGTTCCTCAACTACACTTACAAACGCTTCGAGGGCCTGACTCAACGAGGCACCATCCCAACATACATGAAGCCAGGGAAGGCCTGACAGCCTCGAACAGGGAGTATATAAAAAAAAAAAAGACACTCACGGATGTAACAGGGTCGGGCCTTTGGAGGCTCCCGCTGGTGCTGAAAGCCGAACCGCCCCCCCCTCAGTCTACGTGTAAACCGCCCTCGCTCCGCCAAGTTCTTAAGGGTCGCGTGTGGCCTGCAGCTCTCAGGCCAGCTCGGGTCTCTATACCGTACGCGCGCGCTCACGTCACCTCATAAAAAGACTGCAGTCACTACTCGAAAGTCTCAACACTGGTCGTCGGAAACTGGCTCATATGCAAAACGAGTACCCACTACTGAACACGCGCCGCCGCCGCACTCTGGAAGGTTTCAGCATGATTTGCGGTGTTCTGCGACAACCTCGTCCGTCCAGGATAGTGCGTTCCCTCAAATGGTGTTCTCTAAGGGTTGAAAAACAAAACATTTGCATTACGGTTTAGTATTGTGCAATTGACAGTTTATCACGTTATCAGGTGACAGGGTAGTGCGTTCCCTCAAATGGTGTTCTCTAAGGGTTGGAAAAAAAAAAATTGCATTACGGTTTAGTATTGTGCAGGTGACAGTTGATCACGTTATCAGGTTACAGGGTGCAGGAAAGGGTTAATGTAAAAAAAGGCAGCAAATGGTGTACTGAAATAATGATGATATTGGTTCAAAAATATGAATGGAAAATTTGATTATTATTTTTTTTTTTCTGGAATGTATCCGTCATTGTTCCTTTTCGTACTGTGCCATTTTGGTGCCAAGTAGGTATAGTGAAGTGAGGGAAGCATCTTTTTATTCGACAATCCAAAACCCCGTTTAATACAGAAGTGGTGCTACGTCGCCATCTTGTGGCACCCGTACACAGTCGCGGATTTTCGTTCTTCCTATTTTACTCGAATCCGTGATATTCGTGGCGACAGGTTACAAGTTATCATTATTGGTGCATGAAAGGGTTAATAGAGGCCTCTTTGCAAGGACGCCGTTTGAGGAAATCATGTATTTTTGATTCCTACTGATAATATCTCAGGAAATATGTTTTGAAAGAAATACCGCTCATCCAACCGACATACGGTTGAGGAATTGGGATTTTAGTTGCCTCAGTGTGTACGAGGGTAGTCTTGAGGTGTCACAGGGTAAATCAAGTCGGCTTGACGAAACGGCAGTAGCTTTAAGGAACTTGGGATGTCATTCCATTATTTTATTTTTTTGGGGGCGGGGCTTATGATCACCTCAAAACGGAACAACTCATGCTGGAATCTTCCTCGTGCTCCATTAGCTGACCCCACGAGATAGAAAGCGACGAGTCCGTCACTTCCCTTTCGCGCGCTCTTTGATCTCGACGACAGCGCCCCCCCCCCACCATCCTCCTCCCCTTGCTTTTGAATTTGAATCAGATGAGGCCCAGTCAATCACTTCCTTCTTTGAAGTGCCTTCGTAAAGATATAGCGCGGTAAATAATATTGTATCAATGTTATTCCCATTGAGTCGGAAGGCGTGTAGAGAAAAGTCGATGACGCTGGATTAAAAAAAAAAAAAACAAATAAATAAAAGGGAACATAGATTTTACGTGACCGTTGTAGATAAAACAAAGCCCAGATGAGTTTAAAAAAAAAGGCAATAAAGCGGATGAAAGGACGGTTTGGTTTTGGGAAGATGACAGTATTTTTATGGCGTCGATAAGAAAGGGATCCTCATAAAATGATGTGCGTCAAAGCAAACAAGTGACAAAGAAGCCTTGTGCGTTCAAATGAGAACACATTGGAATCACCTTACCATTAAATTTTATTCATGTCATTTCGACACGCCATCTGTACACAAAAAAATGCTTTTTTTTCTTTTTCTTTTTTTTTTTGCGGAAATTAACCTTTGAATTTACTTCGACTCCAACTTGCACAGCTCGTATAAGGAAGAAGGAAAAAAAAAGCTACCAAAGATCATCACATTTTGTGATGGGGCCATGAATCCAGATGTAGCTCACGCTTGATGCACTTAACCTCAAACTACCTTCACGCGAATCACAGCAACAATCTCACACAACCTCCAGAGAGGCTCACAAATTCATTTCAGGAAAGAAACGAGAAGGAAACACGCTGCGGTTGTTCCCATTTTCACCACACGGTGGTGCTATTGCTGCAGAAAGAATCGAGGATCTGGTCAACTCATTCTGTTGAAATGTATAGATTGCGCTGTGTTTATTTAAGTGTTATTTATTATTTGTATGTGTCTCTTGATCAAAACTTAATCGTTGTTAACCCCTCTTTGAATTTAATCATGAAACATTTCAAACCCAGTCACAGATTATTTAGGGAACCAAAGTGTTTTAAATAAACACACAATTTATTCCAAAAGACAATATTTTTATGGCGCAACACCGAAGGAATAACACTTAGCTAAAATGTCAAGTTCTCACTGTACAGCTTGTACAACAGTGCAAATTTACGATGTCCTTGAAAGAATTCAAAATTCAGCAGTTGATGTCGAAAACACTGGCAACAAAAGCGAGTCGACCCCTGAGTGAAACTGCTCTAATTGGGCCACTTTGGTTTCCTGGTGTTATCTGGCTCGTTAATATCGCAAGACGTCGGGCGTGAACAGAAAGCAGGCATATAAAATCTGGTCTCATTTGTTTATTGTTGTCCAATGAAATTATACAAATAAAATAGTTACGAAAATGTAAGTGGATAGACTGTAAGGGGAGTTATTCTGATGAGTGAAAAAAAACGACCTAGAGGAGTACAAATGTTACTAAAACATCTTGATACTATAAGTAAAGGACCAAACCAGTGTGATTTTATGTGTTTGGTGATCACGTCACCTTAAAATAAATAGTAGTCGTCACCATGAAGAGTCAGGACATTGTTGGTGGGTTATATATGTGATGACTTGTACGTATGCTGTCTCTTGTAGCCCAGTGAAAGAGGTCACGGCGGGAAATGGTAGTAATATATTCACATGGTAACTTTTTATGTCAATAACATGACAAAATGAAAATAAAATTTAAAAAATCAACCAAAGTCATGGTGTGCGTTGATTTTCTTTTGCAAAATCTCCAGGGATGTCACTTGTCAGACTGAATTGGTCATTTTTTTTTAAAAAATGATCACGTGAAAACATTTGCGTGATGATTCACTTAGTTCGCACACCCGTGGGGGAAAAAAACTCGGCGAAAAGGTGCACAGCTCGAAGACCACAGAGGACGTGACCTATTAAAAAAAAAAAAAAATCAAAGCAGTGGTTCTACTGCTTGACGTGAATATGCACGAAGGTGGTTGTGGATGTGGTGCTTGACCTCATTTATTAGTGGAAGACTTGAGAGTGAAAGCACTGAGGAAGTGGCTATGTGATCGATCTTACGTGGTAAAATAAGTGTTACACGATCTATCCGTGAATTTTTAAAATTAAAAATGCTATATCCTATCATCCATTTTTATTGGCTATACAAGATTCATAAGTATTGTATAGAATATACAATATAAGTATAGAAAAAATTGACTATTGATAGAAAATAGTCAATTTTTTTTTTTTTTACAATTATAGCTTCTAAGGAGCTGCGCTAGTACTAACATGTCATTCTGACTAATATTGCTTGAGCGGAATATGCACCATCTCGGGGGCGGCCATTTTGGCAATTGTTGTCGACTGAAAATGACGTCAGGTTGCTCGTATCACGGCTCACCAGTTTTCTGGATGTGGTCGCGTGACGTTCTGAAGTTTATATTGTTTTACAATATTTTATTTTTATAGCTGACTTATATGTTAAAATAAGTATTTAAATGACCCATCAATTAATTTTTGACTAAAACTATGCTAACAAAAACGCTGTAATCAATATTTTCGTACATCTATTCCATTTCCTTTATATCAAAAGGCATTTTTTTATTTTGTTTAGCAAAAATGTTGACCTCAAGGACCAAAAAGTATGCAGATGATCTATTAATGCATTTTTAAGAGAAATATATTTTCAAGTATGCTAAACAATTTGCTTTGCCGGCTTTTTTTTTTTTGTGTGTAAAAGTTCTATTTAGAAATGATGGATGTTTCATATATTTAATTAGTGTGTTTGTATCTGTACGACACTACCGTACAACAATATGCCCTTATCATATAAACAAAATATTAGAAATGCAATTATTACACATGAGACGAATTCCTATACTGTACATTGCCAACCAAAACCGAGCATTATCATCTTTCTTAAGGATGATTTTCAATCAACTCTTGTACTGGATGGTGTACCTAATATTGTGTCCGACAAGTGCATAACAATGAGTCAATGTACGTCATATGTGTCTGGCCAGCCTTGAATTGAACCAGGAATCGGAGTTTTTGGCGACATAGTGACATTCTTCCATGGTGAGTAAACGCAAATTCTTTTTTGTGTGTGTGTGTGTGTGCGTGTGTTTCCATTTTTTTGGCGGGGCTGGCGTGGGGTGTAAATCAAATAGCGTGACCTACATTGTCGCGAAGACCCGAGACTTGCTAAATACAAGTCGAAATAGCTTAACATGCATTCTCATCAGCCGCCTTGCACGAACACAACATCATGATGATGATGATGAGTGGCTGTGTTTTCCACTCGCGAACGTGACGCTGCGGTACTTTCTCCAGGCGCCCTTCCCTTTAAATGGGTTAACGAGTCAAAGTTATACAAGTTATATAATATATAGGTCAACACGTGCCCGGCTGGCACGTGCAGCCGGCGTTCTTATGTAAAGTCTCGTACAAAGGTCTCAAATTACACGATGTAGGTGAGCCACAAAGATCGTTTGTAACTATAAGAACGTTCACTCGGATTTTACTTTCAGCCCCCTTCCCAAGACCACAATCCCACCCTCACCATTTTCAAAAAAAATCGTAATTAACATGCTGATGTGAATATGGAAGCAAAGAGGGAAAAAGATGTACAGACAGAAGGAAACAAGGATGTCTAAAAGGAAAGGTCGAAGGAAGGAAGTACTGAAAAAATGAAGGGATGAGGATAGAGAGAAGGAAAGATGGAAGCAAGGACAACAGGGTGGTATGCAAGGAATGAAGTGAAGATGGAAGAAAACAAGGTGGAAGCCAGGAAAAAAGGGAGGAAGCAATAAAGAAGGGCGGAAACTTGGAGGATACAAGATAAAGTTGGAGGGACGGAGGAAGGATGGAAGGAAGGAGAGAGTTATTCTGTTATCTTAATGCTCATGCGCAATGCAAAAATATCAGGCTAACGCAACCAACATTGATCTTGCAGATCATCCAACCATCCATTTTCCTATCAGCTTAGCCTCACAAGGCTCACACTCACACCTCGGACCAATTTAGTGTGTCCAATCAGACTGCCATGCACGTTTTTGGAATGTGGGAGGAAACCGGAGTACCCAGAGAAAACCCACGCAGGAGAACATGCAAACTCCACACAGGGTCCAGAGCTGGAATTGAACCCGGTACCTCTGCACTGTGAGGTCGACGCGCTAACCACTGGCGCACCGGGCCGCCCCAAAAAGCAAATAATATTTTAAATGGTCTTTGGGGTGTCAAATCTACTCTATGTGGATGTATTACAGTATACTGTACTACCCTCTGGCAGCCAACGTGTGCACACCGGAATTAGCAGCCCGATGTTAGTTAAATTATCATTATGCATAAATTTCATGATATTCTATTAAATTCTATTTTTACTGTGTTTTTTCGAAAGTACAATATTTTAGATGACTATTTTTTCATGTAAAAAAACATTCAAAATGATTTTGAAAATTTGGGGTGGGATACATTTCCATCCCTTTCGATGCAAGCGCAAACACGCAAAATATATTGATAATAGCAGCTTTCACAGACAGACAACGGCCAAAGATATTTGACACCCGAGTGTTTTTCGTGACAAACCTGGTCACAGAAACAATTAAGATCGTAAATCAAAGCAAGATTTTTTTTACTGGCGAAACAGCAGAGTGAGATGTCTTTCTTAAACGAAGCTGCTTTCGACGAAGCGCCCGAGGCACGTAAACACACGTCCGAGGGGTATCAGGTTACTCAAATTAATTTGGATAACTCCAATAAACTTAAATGCATCAAGTATGAACTTTATCATGACAGAAATTTACCGTTTAGGTAAAAATAAATAAAGAAACACTTGACAATGTGTCGCTTTTGGTGCATATAAGGCACGTCACATAAAAAAAATTAAGGCACGTCACATAAAAATATAAAACGTTCACTTGTGGAATAATATAACATTATTAAATAATTTCAAAGGCGTTCGTATGTGAAATCGTGTTAAAGTATGAAATGAATGACTCCGCTGTGACGTCGTCAAGCCCGGATGAATGAAGGCGGAAATGAAAAAAAAAAAAACCACGGCTGTCCCGTCCCTCACGTTTCTGGCCCTCTCGACCTCGCACACCACTCCGCCTCCTTTGTTAAAAAAAACGCACACACGCAAGAAAGGGTGGGAGGGGAAGACAAAAATGAAGTCAATTATACAAGTCGCCGGCTTTTCGCGGCTCCCTCCTCTCTCGCTCGGCTCCTCCACATGCGCCGCGGTGCGCCGTAAAGCCTTCACCCGGACATCGGCTCCTCTCGCTCGGCCATGTCGGACGGAGTCGGCGCCTCTCGCTCGGCCATGTCGGACGGAGGCTCCGGGGGGACCGCGGACCACCTGGCAGGTAAGTGGTACCCCTACATCTCCAAACATATTCAGCATTAGCTAAGTCATTTATCACTTATAAGTCATTTTAAACACGTTGGCATAGATTTTACTGACAAAGTGTCAACATTTAAGAAGTTAATTCAGATACATTTGGCGGTTATTTGGGGGAGCGGGAAACTTTTAGTGGTGTTTGACGTCATGGGTAAAAAAAATTTAAATAGATGTTAAAAATGTAAGGTGTTCATTTCATTTGGAAGCCTTTCGTATAATTTACCGTGGTTAAAAAAAAATAAGGAAAAAAAGCCGGTGTCAGCGGGTATATCTGCCCATTCTCGGCGCCTCTCGCTCGGCCATGTCGGACGGAGGCTCCGGGGGGACCGCGGACCACCTGGCAGGTAAGTGGTACCCCTACATCTCCAAACATATTCAGCATTAGCTAAGTCATTTATCACTTATAAGTCATTTTAAACACGTTGGCATAGATTTTACTGACAAAGTGTCAACATTTAAGAAGTTAATTCAGATACATTTGGCGGTTATTTGGGGGAGCGGGAAACTTTTAGTGGTGTTTGACGTCATGGGTAAAAAAAAAAATTAAATAGATGTTAAAAATGTAAGGTGTTAATTTCATTTGGAAGCCTTTCGTATAATTTACCGCGGTTAAAAAAAATAAGGAAAAAAAGCCGGTGTCAGCGGGTATATCTGCCCATTCATTATTCCGTACTCCAAGGTTGTCTCCGTGTCGCGTTCCTGAACACTCGGACGTCTGAAATTCTCCCCATGGAAAAGTGTATCGGAACGCCATCTCCAGGTTCACCCACTACCAGAAACGTCATAGAGACACATTTAACACATTAAATCACACTTTTGCATATATGTGATAGAAACCAACCACGTGAAGCTATTTCGTAAAATGAAAAAAAAAATAGAATATAAAACGTAGCAATATAAAGGTGTCGCTTTTCGTACTTTTGATGGTAAATATCTAATTTTTAAAAAATTTCTGTGCGCTTTCCCATTTTAAACTACAACGATGTATTCTTTGGAAGCTGTAAATTGGAGTTTTCCGACTTCCTAGTAGTCACAGAACGCACCATCCTGTTGGGAGGGAGGTAGGGAGGGGGGGAGCGGGGGGTCTTGCTTGTCCGACATACCTCACGTCGGCACGTGAGTGTAACCATGACGACATGACGTCCTTTCTAGATGTCGCGATATGATAAAACTGCCACTGACGAATCGTTTGATTCATTTGTTTTTTTGTACTTTTTGTTTTTATACCTTGATTTAAGACCACGAGGGGCTTAAGTTGGTCACGTGCGGGCACGAGGAAAAGTGGGTCAGTAGATCAGTGGAGCGGCATTTCTTCATTTCCGCCAACAGAGGGCGACAATCTCAAGAAAGTTTTTAAAACGTCACGAAGACCAACTCAAATTAATTTTTATAATTTGTGGGCGCAGCACATAATTCTATTTACGTGTCATTAGTGCATTTTTGGTAATGAGGCACTCAGTAATCCACACCCTTGCTTTCTAATGAACTCCAAGACAAAGTGTGTGTAAAAAAAAAAAAATCAAGAGTTGTAAGAATAATTTAATGATAATTATCCATCTTTATGTTGCATAAATGTGGCAGTAAAATAAATCAAGAAATAATAGAATGAAAGTTTTGGTCTAAGTGTTGTTTTTTTCCCCACATAGACAAAAGTGCTTCACATAGAATAAAGCTGTAAACAAAAAAACAAAACAAAATTACAACATTTTACAGTTAAAATAAGTACCCCCCCCAAAAAAAAACCCCGAATCAAAAGTTCTCATCTTACTGTTTTTTTAAACCACTGCCACTATAACCAATATATTTTAAAAAATGGCTACTACAAATAATAATATATAAAAACTCTCCTTTTTAGTAACTAGACCAGGTTTAATGCAACCTTATTAGTGGAGTAATATTAAATCTAAAAAAATATTCATGCGAAAAGAGAATGACTTTGAAAATATTTTGGCATTGTATTTTCTTTCCAGCCTGGTGTTTTTTTTTTTTTTTTTTTTTTAATGCGTTCCAAATGGCTTTTGAGCGCACTTTTTACCCAGCCGCAGCCTATTGAGCCGATGTGATCTTTTTTGCGTGACATTTTTCACATGTAGGAAGGCTTTGCTGGTGGTTGCGTTGTCCAGAAATAACCTAGAACATACTGCACATGGTGTGCGTGTGTCACGGCTGAAGGCTGCCTCTCGTCGAAGGACGCACGCACGCACGCACTTCCTGGAAGTTAATACCAGCTGAGAACATTGGGCAGCCATAACATGTTGGAATTGAAATGCTAGGAAGCACAGTGATAATGTCCAAAAAAAAAAAAGTATTACCCGATAGTTGTCATCATTAGATGCAGTGGTTGTTTCTGTTTTTGACTGTACAATAAGAGTGTTCAAGAAGGAGCTTATTACGGCAGTCCTGAGAACTGTCTGCGTGACCGCCACATTTGCACAAGTTCCCTCAGGAACATGCACCTGTTGGTCTTCAAAAGGTCCCGGGATGAATCGTGAAAGTAAAACAGCACAAAAATGAAATGTTTTTTTTCATGTCTTTGATAAAATCTTGCAGTTTTCCCAACACAATCCCAGGGCGCCATTTTTTCTGATTGACAAATTTGAGCGACCACAAGCGGTTTCAACGACATTAATTGTCCCTTTTTTCTTTTTTTTTTAATTGACCCCAACTTAAAAATATAAAGTTCCGTGTTGACTAACATTGTTGCCATAAATGTTAATCATTTATTATCAAAAGTCGTTTTTTTACAGTCTGTACATGAGAGCGTTTTACTCATGTAGTGACCAAAGTTTCACTCGCGTGTTTCATTTGAAAATCTGAAAAAAAACAAACAAATCTGTTGCATTTCAGTGTATGTAAAATCATCCCACTGGCACGCGTGGTGTTTTCTCCCCTCTCATGTTGCAGTCACAGCCTGACTCACAACATGACAACAGGTCCCGATGGCACGTTTGCGCCTGGCTTGCCTCCCGTTCTCGGGAAACGATGACGCAGGAGGGGAAAAAAAAAAAAAAAAGGATGCAACAGTGTGAGCGTGCGACGGCGTCGTGGGCGGAACGGAGCGAGCCAAGCGATCTCCCACGTTCCTCTCTTTGCGTCACGAATGACCCACTAAGAAAGGATTAATGAGAATCATGTCAATAGTCGTGACGAAAAGTGAACATAATCTGTGCTTGATATGTCGAAGGTCGTCACCTTGGTGCAAAATGGGAGTTGTCAGTGGAATAAATCCCCCCTCCCCCCCAAAAAAAAGTGAATATGGGTCGGTCAAGGTCAACATTTCCATCACTCCCATCGAGATTTCTTCGCCGAAAAAGCGAGTCGGGCCGAAGGGAAGTAGGTCAGTGTCACAGCGTGATATAAGCTTTAGGTAAAATGATAGCCCAAATCCAAATTACCTTTATGCGGCCTCTGGATTGATGCAAAGTTGAGGCGAGCAAACCCCTGGCACAAGTTTGCACCTGACAAGGTTACAAACTCTTGATAAATGTCTCGAGTTGGGATTTCAACGACACGTCGGGAAGTTTTGCTGTTGTGAAAATTTGGCTTTCCCGCAATTCACAACAAAGAAGTCACGTTAACTGAATGCTTGTTGCCATCAATGTCAATACATTTTTTTACCCCCCCCCTCCCCCACCCCACCCAAACTTAAATACAAGATGTTTTGAGATTTGTGTGTGTTTGAGGAAGGTGTGGGCGGGGTTGAAAAAAAAAATCGGAAAATTATTTTGGGGATGCACAAGCTTTGACCACGATGGGGAAACAGCAAAAGATTTTTGTCACACAAAAGTGCTGAAGTAACATTTAAAAAAAATTATAATGCCACTTTGGAACAATTTTTATTCAAGGCTTGTGTTCGTAATCCATTTTAATTGAATCCTTTTTATTTTTTTTAACTCATTCAGTACCAGCCAATTCTGGAGCAAGTCTGAAAAGACGTTTAAAAACGTCTTTGGGAGTGAATTAATTGGTTTTTTTTTTATGCTGCTGTATTTAAGTCCAGTGTCTGTTGAAATGTGCATGATGTTACAGTGGCTTGCAAAAATATGAAAAATATATATATATTTTTTAATGAATGAAACATCTGTCTTGTTTTTGATGACTTCAAATGTATTTTATGCTTTTGCGTGTTTATATAATTTACATTCAGAGCAACATCGCTATTAGCAATTACATTTATTGGGTTTGGTGCTTCTCTGCAGCTTTTTTTTTTTTTTTGGTGTGTTTTGCCGCTTTCATCTGCACCACCAAAACCGCTGTGCGTTATTAATAGACGCGGGAGGCTGCCCACACTGATTTCAAAGTTGCCGTGTGTATTTTTGCGTGTGTGTGCGCGTTGGCTAGGTGGCAACGCGGAGGAGGACGGGCCGAGCCAAGCGAGCGCGTTGCTGCCTGCCGCCGAGCTGCCGAGGAAGCGCAAGGGTGATGTGGAGGACACGTTGGACACTCTTGTGCAGTAAGACAACCGGCGCAATCACACTCACACAACTGTCAATGATTCATGAGACGGGTCAGTGGACTGAAAATGTACTTTTGTTGATCTAACAGCCAAGGTCTTGACTTCCAAATGGATGGGGACCTCAGCAGGTACGCTCGGATCTATTTGTGGGTCATTCCGGAATTGTAGGGCAATGTTGGGGTCAATTATTCAAATTTTTATTAATTTCTAATTTTTTTTTTTTTTTTAAAGAACTCGAAAACTCGCACTGTAATTCACAACTAATTTTGTTGAATTTTTTTTGTTCTGTTTTACAGATCAGAAGATGATCAGCAAGCCAAAATGAAATGCTTCCGGTATTTTTTCCCTTCAAATTCCCTTTTCAAAATGACATTTCTTGGATGGCAAACTTGGGGGCAATGTATGACAAAAAATGCTATTTTAAATATGAATAAAATATGCGCTATTAATTAATATTTGACAGTATATTTCCCAATGCCTGGATAAAAGATCCCATTCTCCGAACCAATCGACGAAATACGTTTTTAAAAATTTTTTTCTACCTGTGCAAGGGGCTCTCGTGCTAAAAAAAATTAGCATTCAAGGACGGCACAAAACCAACCAACGTTTAGTGTGAGACTCATTCTATAAATTTTTTTTCCCCCCACAAAAATAAATTCACTCCAAATTTTGATATTATTGAGGTTCAATGTTTTTCCTGCATGTCGTTCCAAATACTGTACACAAAAAAAAAAAAAGATACAAGGCCGACACGAGTTGCAACATAAGCGGCAGTGTGAGTGCAACTAAGAGATGTCTGCCATTGAGTGCTGATCGGTGTGATTCGCATATTCACAGATTTTTTTTTTTTTTTTCTCCCCCAGTATTTCAGTTTTTGTAGGTTCCCCCCATTTTTTGTGGAAAACGTATTTTGAGTGGTTGTCAGGGCAAGCCAGCAAATAAATACGCCACAAAATGTACACTTGGTGAACCTTAAGTCATTCAAGAGCCGCTACAAGCCGCAGATATCGGACATTTGGTCTCAATGAAGCTCCTCAGCTCACTTCGACTCCTTGGCACAGTGATGCCACCAGAGGGTGCCCTTGCGCATTAAACGAGGAACAAAAACAAACATGTCTTTTAACTCATTCCATCCCAAAGACGTTTTTAACGTCTTTTCAGACTTGGTCCAGAATTGGCTGGTCCTGAATGAGTTTACGTCAAAGGCAAAAAAGCTCAGTATGTCCCGTGTATGGATCGCAGGCAACCTCACCGGCAGATTGAGAAGCGGCGGCGAGACAAAATGAACAACCTCATCGACGAGTTAGCCACCATGATCCCCGCCTGTCAGCCCATGCCACGGAAACTGGACAAACTCACTGTGCTGCGGAAGGCCGTGCAGCATCTAAAAGCCCTTAAAGGTAAGGTAACGCTATGCTCCGTCGCAAAATGTTTTCAGGCGCTTTGGATTCGATTCTCTCTTCATTTCTTTCCAGTAGGGTCAGGCAGCACCTTCGCTAATGCCGCCTGTAAGCCTTCCATCGTTCCTCATGATGACCTCAGGCACCTTTTGCTCAGGGTGGGTGCCGCAATTCAGCAACTAGTGTCTTTTTTTATTTAAAAAAAAAAAGAAAAAAATAATCCACTAATCCCGATTTTTCTCTTGTTTTTTTTTTTTGTCTGTGTGCCCATTGCAGGTTGCGGACGGTTTCCTGTTAGTTGTGAGTTGTGACCGAGCGAAAATTTTGTTTATCTCGGAATCCGTCTCCAAGATCCTCAGCTTTAGCAGGGTGTGTGCATGTTTTGCCAACTCGGGTGGATGAAGCACCCACCTGAGGCATCCATTAGGGCTGATGTTTTTTTTGTTTTTTTTTTTTTTTGTTTTTTTTTTTTCCCCACCAAGTGTAGTGCAACACGTCAGATCACGTCAAAATCTTTAGACTGTACGAATATAACATTGAATATTTATTTGAACCATTTAATGCACAAAATATGATAACCTGATAGCATGATAAGCTGTCCACTCTAGTAACCGATGTCCCTGAAAAGGTGAACATTCTTCTGTATATAAAAAAACAAAAAGAATCAATTTAATTCAAGAATGGGGTTCATATGACATATGTTGGCTCTCCATTACAGATGATGCAATCCCTTCTTTTAAATTAATTTTTTCTTCAATCCAAACAGCAATAATGATTTTTTTTGTTCAATCCAAACAGCAATAATGATTTTTGTTTTTGTTTTTTGTGTTTTTGTTCAATCCAAACAGCAATAATGATTTTTTTAAATGTATTTCTTTTTTATTTTATTTTATTTTTTGGGTGGCGGCAGGTGGAGCTGACAGGCCAAAGTCTGTTCGACTTCATCCACCCCAAAGACATTAGCAAGGTGAAGGAGCAGCTGTCGTCGTCCGAGCTGAACCCGCACCAGCGCCTCATCGATGCTGCCAGTGAGTCTGTCGCCATGACGACGAGTCAAGTCCACTGTGGGAGTCACTAAATAGAACTTGGCGTGTGTTTCTTTTTTTTTTTTTTTTTTCTTTTGGGCGGGGTGTATAGCTGGCGCCCCTGTCCACGCGGACGCCCCCGTCACGGCGTCTCACTTGTCCACGGGAGCCAGGCGCTCCTTCTTCTGCCGTATGAAGCACAACCGGGGGGAGGGAAAGTACAAGGACAAGCGCACACTGCCCACCGCTTCCAAGAAAGGTGGGTCAACGCAGATAATACATGCAAAGACAGATGGAATTATTCACAGCTTTCTTGGGGGGGTAGTTAAATTGCTGCGCTGTACCATAAAAAATAAATAAATAAATAAAAAAGTAATCTTTGTTGCCATCAAAAGTTTTCTAAATTGGATTTAAAGTTAAACATGTGCAAATATTTTTGAAGTCAACTATAATGCAATGAGTCAAAATCGATTAATAGACCATCAAGTCATTTCTTTAAATAGCCTTGAATCCCAAACAGGCTTAAAGGGCTTCACATTTGACAAATATTAATGGCATCCCCTTACCTAAACCCCCCCGCAGGACAAGGAAAAACTCCAAAAATCCCTTCTGGGGGAAAAATGAGAAACCTCGAGAAGGGGCCGCAGATGGGAGGACCCCCACCCACTCCCTCCCCGATGACCAGGCTGCAATGAATGTCACAATATTGTACAAAACTGTCAGAATGATATAAAGTCACTTTATATCATAACAAAATGAAAATGTTTGGGCCCATGATGTCAGTTAAATTTTTTCAACACGCACTGGGTTCACTTAGGGACATATTTCGGCATACAAAAAAAAAAAATCAAACATTTATTAAGTACACCTTTTTTTTCCCCTCCCCAGAATGGAGTGAAAAAAAGCCTTTGAGCATACATTTCGCTCCCTTAGTAATGAATTCTTTTCATGTCCAAGGTTTCTGCACAGCATATGTGATCGGCATTTATAAAGTGGTTGTATAATGGACACTAATTGAGTCATTAATGCTGCAAATGGGCTCATATTGAATTTCTCAAGGGAGATAATTATGATGAATATGAACATTATTGTCGGAAATGTGGAGTGATTTTTTTTTTTTTTTTTTAATCAGAAGAAAAAGGCCCCTGTCTTTGTGTGAAATCAGATGATGACCGGGACTGCAAGTTGCAACGTATTGTAGACAAAATGAAGCTGCTGTTGTGAAACATGGAGGAGCACAGTGACCCTAGAAAATCCAACCTTGCTCTCTTTCCCACTGCGGCATTTAATGAACCAGTTTGAATAGGAGCAGTCAAGAACAAAAACAACATTACGCCTTCGGTGTCCACGGTAAAGAACACGTGTTTGCTTTTCCCCATGTCAAGGTAAAGGTCCCAACCAAACAATTGGTCGACGACGCGAGTGATGAGTGTAAAGAAAGCAGACATGAATGGAGACGCGACGTAAATGATGTTTCCTTTTTCCTAACTTTATACAATGGAGGCCGCGTTTATTGAAAGAAGGAGCGCAGGAAGTAGGTCAGCATTTATAGCATTTTATAACCACAAAGACAAGATAGAAGGCGGTGAATTAAACGACAGGACAGAGCCGACAACTGACTTCCTCTAATTGGCCACGGTGAAGGAGAGACAGCGACGCTTAGCGGGCGAATGTTGAAACTGCCGCGAATGGTTCGAAAGCTTCATCCTGTGTATTAAAAACGATTCTTTTAACCTGTTTTTAAAAATTGAAGATTTACTTTGGTTTTTAATTGGTCAATACATACCATCAATATTAATATTAGTAATAATAATTATAATAGTACGACCACCAATAATAAAAATTGCAATACAGCACGCAGGCATTTACAGTGTTTGAATGCAATGTTGGAATCTGTTTTATTTGATCTATCTATTTTATTGTTATTGTATTGACAGTATCAGCCAATAAAATACTTGCTTTTATAGTAATTATTGTATTTAAACAAAATACTGATTCTGAAAGTGTAAAATGAGGACCACGAGTGGTACACGGGCTCCCTCTAGTGGTAAACGAAATAATCACGTACAGTAATTGCATATTGTGCATCATGCTTTTACGTTCAATGCATTTAATCATTTAGAAATGTTTATTTTCAAGCCTCTACATAAGTACTTTTGATCATATTTTCACTTATGTTTTTACATGCCATACCCTGCTGTTATGCTATTATGTATTCCAGCCACAAAGTATTCAGAAGCCCTTTTAGTATGCAATTTGAAAGGATAATGTTGCCAAAATGTGCATCCCCAGACTCGAGCAGATACTGTACCCTCCACTGCTCCGGGTACATGCGCAGCTGGCCCAGGAGCGACCTGGACTCAGAGACCGACGGCGAGAAGGTCACCACGGGCCTCACCTGTCTGGTGACAATGTGCCGCGTGCAGGCCCACGCGTCCCACCAGCCCCCCAAAGACGTCAAAGTCAAGCCCACCAAGTTTGTGACTCGCTGTGCCATCGACGGCAAGTTCACTTTTGTAGAGCAACAGTGAGTTTTCCCTCTATTCTCTTCTCATATCCCCACTGACTTTACCCATTTAGCATTTTATATTTTTTACGAGCCTGAGTTCGGAGTTCGATTGAGGAAGCGAGCCCACAAATAGAAAACTTACACAAGCGAACTACTTTTTAAAAAATGTTTTGTTTTTTTTTTTCTTCACAGAGCAACGACTGTCATTGGTTATCTCCCGCAAGAAATTTTGGGCACGTCTTGTTACGAGTACTTCCACCAGGATGACCTGCAACACCTTTCAGAAAAACACAGGCAAGGTGATTGATCATGGTGGATTACATTAGAAATTTTGGCAAGAAAAAAACCATAGGCAGAGGGTTTCAATTCAATTGACCAACTTTTACATATTCTTGTACCGCTGAGAATAAGAGTGGGCTAACTCCAATGTTGTCCATATTAAGTTAAATGTTGGTCGAGGTCAAGGTTAAGTTCCAATTTTGACAGATAGCAAGCAGTCAATAAACAATTTCTTTCCCACGTGGAGTACTTTTCATCTCTTAGAACCAACGGTACTTGCCAGCCCGGGCACATTTCTTGACGCTCTCTTTTGTGGTTGCAGTTCTGCGCAGCAAAGAGAAGCTGGAGACAAAGTGCTACAAGTTCAAAACAAAACACGGTCCCTACGTTTCACTCCAAAGTCAGTGGTTTAGTTTTACGAACCCGTGGACCAAAGAAGTCGAGTTTGTTGTGTCGTTAAACCGGGTTGTCTCGTAAGTATTTATTTCACATTTTTTCAGGACATTTATTTTTTAACAAGAGAGTTTTGTTTTTCCTTTGTGACACACTGGTACAATTTGCCATTGAAGTACCTGTTTTACATCAGTAGGGGGCCCAGTCACACAAAAGATGATGAGGCAGCAGGCGGCGCCAAAGGACCTCAGGGTAACTTACATCATGCATCCATCCATCCACTTTCTCGTCCACTTATCCTCACGAGGGTGTGCTGGAGCCTATCCCAGGTGTCTTTGGGCAGTAGGCGTGGGGACACCCTGAACTGGTTGCCAGCCAATCACAGGGCACACATAGACGAACAACTAACTGCGCTCACACTCAACAACTCGGCACAATTTAGAGTGTTCCATTTACTTGCCGTGCACGTTTTGGGAATGTGGGAGGAAACCGGAGCACCCGGAGAAAACCCACGCAGGCAAATTTCACACAGGAAGGCCAGAGCCAGAATCGAACCCTGCACCTGTGCATTGTGAGGCGGATGTGCTAAACAGTTCCCCAGCGTGCCGCCCAACTGACATCTCATTTTAGATACAATGTGCTTTTTATCATTCATCTTATCTTTTTTTTTTTTTTTTAATTGTTACTTCTTCTCCCACAGAAGAATCAAAACAGTTACCCATTATTCCAGGCCTCACGAGCAACGTGGGCAAAATGATCTACGCAGGCAGCATTGGCACACAAATTGCCAATGAACTCATCGATTCCTACAGGTACTTGCACACTTCCCTCGGATAGATTAGCCTTTGGCTAAAATTTCAGGATGAACCAAAAAAAAAAAAAAAAAAAAAATCACGAAATATGCGTACGTACATATTTGTCAACAGGGCAAACTCGTCTCCTTCCAGCGCTGTGTCCAGTCCGTTTGGTGCAGCCCAGAGTGTGCCAGAATCCCCACAAGCAAGCAGAAGCGTGAGTGATTTATGACGACCATGCGCCTACTCGTCATACTTATTCTACGTTCTCTTTTAAATTTTATTTGTGTATTTTTTTTGCAGCTGTCAAGCCAAGAGGAGGAAGCAGGAAGTTCCTCTGAGTCGAAGACGGAAGCAGTCCCCAGCGCTTCGGAAAGTACAGGTGAATAAAATGTGAAAAAAAAGTAGGAAGCTTTAAAAGTAGAGAATAGTACAAAAATAGAAACACGTTTTTAACAAAAAATAAATAAATAAATTATGGACGCGTACGGCATATATCAAAAAATACAAAATCTAAAATGGTTAAAAAAAAACAGGATTCAAAAAAATACAAAATATGTTCAGTATATTAAAATGAGTGATAATACAATCTAAAATGTATAAAAAGTTGAGAATGATAAAAAAAAATGAATGTATAAACAACTAATCCAACAAAAAATATAGAGCAAGTGATAATTGAATGTTTATATATATAAAATTATTTTTTAAACACATTTTATTGTATATTTTTATATTTTAAACAAATAGAAAAACAGAATGTATAAAAAATATTTTAAAACAATAAAAATGATAATTGCAAATTTTGTATTTCTACTGCATTTTATAAATAATAAAATGCATTAGAAATACAAAATTATTTATAAAATATTTGAAGACGTATCGACTATTCAAAAAGAAATTTCTCAAGCTGAATGTGGTTGCATAATAAAACAAAACATTGATGACTAAATGGAAAATGTTGCTCAGCTAAACTGATCAAATACATATACATGCATATGTTATTGATTTTGTGTCATGCTATCACCAACAAACAAGCATAATTTTGCCATACTATGAATATTAACAACACTAAAATGTCAGTTGGACTCCAGGAAGACATGAAGTACATTTCCATTCTTTCTCGGAATATAAACTTTGGAATAATGCACATAAATGAGAAGAAAAAAAAAAAGACAACATGCATCGGGTGGCCATATTGTCCAGACAGGGAACCTTAAATCTGGCTGTGTATTTTTACGTGTCCCAGGCGACCCGTCCCAGCAGGACTTGGACAGCATGCTGGTGCCGGGCCTGAGCAGCTTTAGCAGCGATGAAGCGGCCATGGCGGTTATCATGAGCTTAATAGAGACGGACGTAAACATGGGCCAGTCGGGGGACTTGGACGACTTACACTGGCCCTTCTGAGCCCCCCCCACTTTCACCTCGCTATCCAACCCACCACGAGCCCCCAAAAAAGTACACCGAAGGACACGTAGGGTCGAAAAACCATCCCGACTGTTGAGTTCTTTTTAAGGAAATGGCACTTGGAGTGAATCTGTCTTCCGGTGGGATTGAAAGGCAGATTCCCCCTCCCCCCTCCCCATTCTGGCTTGACTATGGTGAAATTCAACTGAGGACCTGCAGTGCCGCTAGATGAACAACTTTTGATTTTTATTGAATTTTTTTTTTTTAACACCATGGCCATCACCAAATGTATTTTTCTTTCCACCTCGTTTTTGGGTGGAGTCATTCAAGACTCTTTATGCATTGTGCAAATATGGACCCGATGCCTCAGGCCTTAATTTACAGCCCGGACGCCATCACGACTGCTCTCCCTGTTAAACTGCAAAGCCAATTCCATGCCGTTCAGAAGATATCCGATCGAATTTTAATCGGCTAATATTTTAGGACCTCTTGGTGGCATATTCGTTATTTAACCCATTGAGGCGCAGTGGTTACGACAGTGGACAGCTTACCACGTTATCAGGTTACGGGGTGCAGGAAAGGGTTAATGTCACATTTTTATTGATTGTCACGGCTATCTACGGGCTAACGCATTCAAAATGTGCCTAGCGGCTCACTGTTTGGCTTTGTACCCGGGGAAAAAATGTAACGATCTTTCAAAAATATCATATATGAATTGAATTGACAAAAATCGGCAGGCAAATTTACTGGATGATAGTACAAATAAGATTTACTTAACTGTTGTGAAAAAAAAAATTTTTTTACTCCACATTAGTGGCGTGAAATGAATTTGATGACATCATATTTGGTCCTAATTGGCTTGGCCCCAGTCCACTTTATGCTAATTAAAATTAGCAATTCATATTTTTTTTCTGCTTGAGCAAAAATTGTAACGCCATACACCAAGTTATTAACCGTACGGTAATAGCGGCCAAAATCAAATCCAAATCTGTATGAAATGGAGCTGAAAAGGGCTTTCGGAGCTGGTCTCAAAGACAAAATACCAAATGGTGAATGTGCTTAAAAGAATGTTTGGAGCCGCTCTCTGTCAATGACATATCAGTTGACTGTAAAGACGATGCAGTATTGTGAAGGTTATTTGCTGGGCGGTTAGAAGAATGTTTCCACTTCGAATGCGTCCATAACAAAACAAAACAAAACAAAAATCGGTGATGTACGGGGGGGGGAAAGACTTGAAAGCCTAATATGTATTTAGTAGGACATTGTTTACTGAGCGTTTTGTCCCACGCGCAGATCGCCGGTTGAAAGGCACATTCTCTGTTGTCTGGATGCGACTTTCCACTTATTTAATACCGTTTGTCTGTTGCCGAATGTCCCGGTACCCACAACAGCCTTTTGTGAACTCACGCGTCGGCCTATCTCAACTTTTTTGCTACTGAGAATATGCAACATGGTTCCATGCACATTTATTCACTTGAAATCCTACCAGAGCACACAAGACGAAAGGAGACATTCGGGGATGCGAAATCCTCTTCTTTTATCCGGCTCATGCAAACTTCTTGGATTCTATCATTTGCTCCTCCACGCTTGAAAAACATAAATGTGATTGTGTTGCCTTGTGTTTTGGAATGTGTAAAATCAACAATGCGATGTGGCTTTCTAAGCCGCTTAAAAAAAAACAAAAACTGTTGGCTTCGAACCAGCTATCAGAAGAGGAAGGTGTCTTGTTCGTTTGTACGTGCTAATTGTTGTCGATGTTTCTGCTGTAAGGCGTGGAGGAACAATTTGGTAAGTAAAGTACTTTGTTTTTGTAGGAAGAGAGTTTCTTTGTTATTGTATTGTGCTGGGCAAAACAACAACCAAGCTCCTACATGCCGGCGCTGATTATATGTAATCAGTCTCCACAGTAAGACCACGAGCGAGCCAAGCAAACGCACCCCATGTGTTTTTTTTTAATTTATTATTTTTCTACATCTATACAATGAAAAATGTATGTAATGCAATTTTAAAATATATATATTTAAAAATTGCAATATATATTTTAAAATATATATTGTAATATAAATTAAAAATAAAAAAAATATATATATAATACAAAAAAATTAATTGAGTTGAAATGTACTTTATTTTCTAAAAGTAGAATTATTTTATTATTTTAAGAGCTGGATCAAATATTCCACCTTTACCCCACCCAAAAAGGCAATTGTGAGCCAATATTTTGGTGCAGCTCTCACCAAAATAATTAAAAAAAAATCTCGATATCGTATTTTTCGCACTATAAGGTGCTTTGGAGAATGGCCTATTTGAAAACTGTTCATATCTAGGGCACACTGCATTATAAGGCGCATAGAATAGAAGCTTACAATAGTGGCTGCGGTTGTGTTAGGCATCCACTAGATGGAGCTACGCTAAAGGGAATACGATATGATACAATACAATACAGCTTTATTTATGTAGTGCCTTCACAACCGCTGCAGCTGTCACACCACTTGACAGAACATTTCAAATACGAATCAATACGAAAACCCAAGAAATCAGAATATTGATCCACATACACTGTCGGCTTTTGAGAAAATTGGATGCTTTTCGGGTGCGCCTTTAGAGTGCGGAAAATACCCCCCTTTTTTTTTTTTTTCCTGATGTGAAACAGTTATTGTAAGAAATACACTGTAAACCTTTTTTTTTTTTTTTTTGGGGTGGTCATCTCTGCGTCACAGATTTACAACTCTCACCAGAATATAAACCCCAAAGGCGCTCATGACACGATTCCCCGCGCGCTGCTCGCCTTCCCCGTCAGACAAAAGATTTGCTTTGCCTTGGCGAGGTAAAACAAAGGCCCTATCAGCACGCCGAGCCTTGGAAACATCTGACAGAACTGATAAGCAACACACGCCACTCGGCTTAGTTCCAGCCGATTATAAATGGTCAAAAAAAGCAAAGGCAGCATGACGCAAACGGGCGTGTAGGCAATCACGGCGGGCACCACCACCGTCAGCACGTTGACCGCCGCCCGTCTCTTTAGCGGCGAGCCGGCCTGATTGGCGCTCGTGTACGCTGGGCTTTGTTGGCGAAGGGACAGGACCACGCCCATGAGGCTGGCAAACATGACGTGGAAGAGGCACGAGATGACGATGCACACGGGCGCGAGCATGACAGACAGGTCGTTGATAATACCTGCGTAAAACAAAACACTTAGGATTGCTCAAAGGGGCGGAGCCAGATGAGTTGGGGGGGCAATGACCAGGTTGTTCAAGTCTCTCGCCATAATTTGCCATGACTCAAACAGAGCTTACCCGAAGCCAGGCAGAAGGAAAACGTGAGTAGCCACACCACACTGGACACGGCTACGCGGTACTCCCACTTTCGCACTTTCAGGTACAACACGGGTTGGACTACGGCCAGGTAGCGCTCGATGCACATGCAGGTCAACAGCAAGGGACAGCCGATCACGTTGAACATTCCAAACACGTTTTCCGACACGTTGATGGAAGTGTGGTAGATAAGCTTGGTTTCTGGAAAGCAGTTAACACTCGCAGGTTCACACGGTCTTGCCATTTTGCGGTCGATTTGTGTTGTCCTGTTTTTGTTGGGTGTAATTGCACTGTTGGCCAACAGATGGTGGCATAGTGTCAGGAAGCATTTCTAGCTCAGCCTAGTTCGATCTCGTTGAGTAGAAGCAACTGCGCCTAAAGCTAAACTGTGACAAAGGTTTTTTACTTTCTGGACCTGGATTTGACACCTCTGATTCTGCTAAGTTTGCTGTGATTTGATTTAAATCAGGCCGTTATGTCTTGTGACATGTGCAATGACCTTCAATGTGATTTAATTCCATTCCATCGAGACGCCGGTACACTGTTGCAATGTTTGTACAATATTTTTCTCTTATCCATTGCTCTCTCTTAATGTTTTTTTTTAAATGTCTTCTTTTGAAGTGTCTTTTGTGCCCATAAATGCTCTCAAAGATGACAACGGAATATTTAAAGAAGGCATTTCTATCATTATATCATAAATATATGATATATCATAGCTCGAGGTGGGTTTACTGTACTAATAAATGGGCTTGGATATTAAGTCTCTTCAAAAAATGGCTTTCCCCAAATGTTGAAAATTTGATTTGGCCAAGCATGCTCACCTGTCGTATTTGTCAGACTCATGTAGGGATCAAAAGCACAGGCGAATGGCAAAAAACTGATGAACATGAAATCCATCGCAACAAGGTTCAGACCAAGGACCTGGGAGACAGATTTTGGTGTGAATTCCATTTAAGAAGCAAAAAAAAAACTCCTAAAAAACATCAGCAAAATGACAGAAATGCGATCAACTGACCTTTGAAGCAGAGTTTGACTTCATCTCCCGGTGAAGTAACCAAAACAAAATGCCGTTGCCCATTCCACCTACGACCAGGACGAAAATATTGACGAATAACCAAATCTGGTCCCAAGTTCGGTTTTGGCAGTGTTCATCTATTTCATCAAGAGTATTGGGTTTTTGGAAGGAATCCATCGTGCGGATGTCTGAAAAAGTCAGTGAGCCAAAATGTACATTTTCGAATCTAGTTTGATATGTTCCCTTCAAAATGCTTTCGTCTATGATTACGGGTCTGCCTCCTGAAACAGCCGCCAGGTGCAGAAACCAAATGAGCAGGTGTGATGTTTTTTTTTTTTTTTGTTTGTTTTTTTTGCCCCAAATGCAAAGTGGTACATTGTTATTATAACTCATTTCCATTGCACTGCCAGTGTGCTTGTTTGTGATGCCAAAGATCAGCAAGGGCATGACGTCATGTGCTTAGAAAGGTCCGCCTTGTAGTTCGGAGTTTAGGGTCTCGACTCTGTACTGGTGTGGTTTTTCCTCCAGTGTACTTGTAAATTATTTTGGTGGGTTTTTTTTTCTCTTATATTCTAAAATGCCACATGATGGCGCCAAAGTTACGTTCGGAGTTTAGGGTCTCGACTCTGTACTGGTGTGGGTTTTCCTCCAGTGTAAATTATTTAATTTTTTTTTTCTCTCATATTTTAAAATGCCACATGATGGCGCCAAAGTTACATCTTAAGTCGGTCTTAAGTATGCTAAGCTAAGTTTAGCCTGGGTTGTTCAGGAGAGTCATTGTCTTTTTGGGAGTCAATTAACCCAAAAAACGTTTATTTTTAATTTTATAAGCTAAGTTTAGCCTGGGTTGTTCAGGAGAGTCATCGTCTTTTTGGGAGTCAATTAACCCAAAAACTGTTTATTTTTCATTTTTACTAAGTCGATAAGTGATCTGGTTTGTGTCACGCAACCGTCTCGTACTTCAAAGTACTTTTCGGTTCAGTTCTGGACTTTGCGTAGCGGTTTCCGTGGCTGTCTTTCCTCTGCGAATACGACACATTAAAACACGCGTTGCACTTGTTCAAGTCAAGAAACGTCTCTGCTTTTATTGCACACTCACATTATTAATAAAGACGTTAAAATGAGACAGTAATAATTGAAAAACAGGACGGTCTCTCTGAACAAAAAAATAAGTGCAAATTTAATTGTGTGACAATTTTAGTGTTATTAAAAATAAAAAGCCCCACAGATAAAGTGACTAAAAGAACAGTAGATTTTTTTTTTTTCACGGTAGGTTAAAAGGGAATCGTAAAATAAAAGGAAAAAATTAAGAAGGCTGTGTTGCTCCTTATTCAGTGCAGGTTCTAGTGCATTCAGGAAAGAACAGCACCATTACAGGCTGTCCCAAATCAAGTTCATGGATTTTTACACTTTGTACATATTCACAAAATCGGTCCTTTGTATTTAAAACCCCCACACGGCCGTGAAGCACCCAGGGAGCAGTTTTAGGGATTTGGTGTCCAGTTGTTCTTGTACAGCGCTTCCCTCCCTCGATTTGGTTCGGCTGCCGTTCACGAGGCGGGACGCACTCATTGCCACGGCTGCTGCGGCCTCGGGTTGGGGTTAGGGTAGATGGGTGCCGGGACTGGCTGGTGGAACGGCAGCACCGACGTGTTGGGGTTGGGCGGGTACGTCGGCGTGGGGTACTGGCCCATGAGGTGAGCCTGGGAGTGGGCGGTGGTGTGCGCCGGCGTGGAGGAAGAGGAGGAGGTGGTGGGGAGGTGGAGGTAGAGCGGGGCCGAGGGAGCCGACGGGGCGGACGGCGCCGACGGGGCGGTCGGGGGCAGGACCCTCTGGAGCACCACGTGCGGGTAGAGCTGCGAGTCGGAGCGGTAGACGCCAGGCGGGGCCGCTTTCAGCAGACTCTCTTGACTCCTGTTTGGAGGAGTTCCAGAGAAGGAAACAATCGTGTATATAAAGGTACAAAAGAATACATTTTTAAAATGTTTTCTGAATTGAGTGGAGTAATATCGATTCCTACAGCACCTGCTAAATGAACCTCGAGTGACTTTGGCTTTACTACCTCTGATATCCTCTGTTCTCGTATCCCCCGAGGCCTCCGGTTAGGTAGAGCGGGCTGTCCGGTGCCAGACGAGGGTTCATCCTCTGGGATAGATGGAAGATCTTAGGAGGAGGGAAGGCCTCCCATTCGCCTTCTTCTATGTCCAGCCATCGCTCACCGCGGCGGGCGGAACGCTTTCCCCTGCGTCTGCGAACAAGAAAAATTCAAGTCCAGATTTCGCTATATGCCAAAGAGCTCGATGTGTCTGTTAAGCCTCTGTTGTTGTGCTAATGGGAAGGCAACAAAAATACGACGTTGGTGCCATTTTGTGGAAACTGAGTCAGTTTGTGCTAGCATGTTCGGTAGGCTAGTATGCTAGCTCATACTACCGATGAGCCTCATGTGAAGGTGGTTTGTTTTTGGGGTGAATGATGCTAGCGTCTTCGGCAGGCTAGTATGCTAGCTCATACTACTGATGAGCCTCATGTGACGGTGGTTTGTTTTTGTGGTGAATGATGCTAGCATGTTCGGTAGGTTCGTATGTTAGCTCATACTACTGATGCGTCTCAGGTGGTTTGTTTTTGTGGTGAATGATTTCACTCCTGAATACATTTAGTCCGGTCACATGCAACGAAAGCTTAGCGTCGGTGCTAGCAACTCTGCTGTGTTGTAAAATGCAGAGCACCACGGTTTATTCTAATACTTGGCTAACGGTGATATTTGCTAGGCTAACGGTGATACTTGCTAGCTTTCAAAGAACTTCTCTTCGTTCACCAAGCTTTTCTCAACAAAGTCTTCTGCCAACTTCACAAAATTTATTGTCTCCTCGGCTTAGCGGACTCCACCGTTGTTGGTCCGGTCCTTTCAGGTTTCACTCACCTGGCCCGCACTTCTTTTTTGGCTTTCTTCTTGCTGGATTGTTCCTGTAGACAGCAGACAAGGAAGGACAGCGACATGGCGAGGATGACGACGCCGCTAATGACCGACGCCAACACCGCCACTCTCAAACCGCGGTCCTCTGGCCTGGGGATTGCTAGGAAAGGGGTGGGGGGTGGGGGGCGGAGGGCAATCCTAATCCAACAGTGCTCATAGATACATTTGCACCCTTGCGTTGCAAAAATGAGGCTCACCCTCACACACGGGCAAGTAGTTGCTCCACTGCGCTTTCCCATTGCGGACGTTGCAGTAGATTTTGTCACTGCCCACCAGCTGGTAGCCCCCGCGGCACCAGAAAGTCAACGCGCTGCCCACCGACACCCCGGTGCCGCTCTCCACGTAGAAGGAGCCCCGGCGCGGCGGCAGGACGGGAATACAGGACAGGCCTGAGGATACAAAACAAACCAAAATGGTTGCTGGCACGGACATGTGAGACATGGCGATACTGTACACGGAGGGTTGGGGTGGGAACGGGGGTGGGGGCTATTTATAATTGTCCTTATGCTGCAATACACAAATACCGCTCCGAGGTCTCGTGACTCAGCCGCTATTGTTAGACTCTCCCCGGGACCTTGCGCACATAGCCAAAGCGGTGTAGCTTGATATCATTGATTAGCCTTGAGTCGCAGCTCTTAGCCATGAAATTATTTTGGAAAATCTGTTTTTAATGGAGATGTTTTGTGCCGGCTTCAATCGACCCGTAAATTGAGTTTTGATTGAACCCTTTCACGCGCCCTGTAACCTGATAACATGATAAGCTTGTCCACTGTAGTAATCGCAGAACAGACCTCTTCACCGTGCTATTCAGATGTGTGTCCATTCTTGTGAATTTTGCCGTTTGGCTCTTCGTTCCAGAACAGCAAGTTATATAAAAAGTACTCAATGAACAGTTGGAGATAAAAAAATTTAAAAAAATCAGAAGGGCAAATTAAGTTCACCCCCAAATTTCCCCTGAAAGCCAAAATATCACATAACTTTTCGTCAGTAGTGTACATATTTTTCCGAAGTAAAATATAGGAATTTGTGGTGTTTTGAAACCAGCTCATGACGAGATTGTGTTCCCAATTACATCCTCTTGATGGAAATGTTTGCCCCTGGAGTGGCTCCACTTTGCATGCAATGTAGTGCAACTTGGTGCATCGTGAACCGACGCTAATTAGCGTGAGCTCGAACACGTTATCGGCGTCATTAATTTTGCTTCTAATGAGAAACAGCCGGAGGGGCGTGTGATGCTGTTGTTTGCCGTCCGAATGAGGATGAATGCGTTATGTGCTGTATGTGTGTAAAGATGACATTGTGTTTTAAGACCCAGTGAACATGCCAGCCGCTCTCGGCTGATTAGGAGCGACAGATGGGAGGATTTTTCTGCAGCCCGAGAGATGCTGCGAGAGGATCCCGTCATCCCGTGTGAGGATGACGGCACACCCGCTCGCTCTTTTTTTTTTCCCCCCTTCTCGCTCGCGCACGTACGCACGCGTAAAGGCAAACGCGTCCGACACGTGCGGCACGGCGCGTACTTCGCATGGCAACAAGGACGAGCTGACTCAAGTGTTTAGTGGACAAAACTGTCCACATGAACGCATTACTCTGGCTTGGAAAACAAGAATTAAAAAAATAAAATAAAAAATGTATCCCTCTCGATACGGCGATTGCGATTTAACCCTTTGAGGGACAGCGGTTACGACAGTGGACAGCTTATCATATTGAACAGTTTTCATTAAAAAAAGCTTCAACTATGAATTATGGCACAGTGTGCATTAAAAGTAAACTCAAAACACTTTCGGTATTTCGCCAAAGCGCTTTCACTTCCTCCCGCGTCAATTTGCTAGCTTAATGCT